ATAGAAAGAAGAATAAGTAAACCCTCTGGAATTCAGGATCTATTGTGCTAGCACATTTGATACTCGTGATACACCGAAAATATCTTCAGATTTAGTCCTGAAGTCGGTATTAGTAGAGTCTCGCTCCAAGTGGTATTGCAAGTTTCCCTGGCTGCTATACACTCGCTAATGGCCATAGTTTCGTTGGCTGGAGAGGAATGAAAATGAAAGACTAAGGGCTCCTCCAAGTATTTGATCGAATGAGGACTAGTGAGGAGTGGTGTTGCTTAAAGGGAGCTGTATGGGAGGTAGGGAGAGGTATGTAGCTGAGCCCTGAAACTACTGCGGCTGCCCTCATCCTTGGCATATAGTGCAACGGAAGATTGGCGTGTGTCCAATTTGGTGGGTAAGCAGGAATTGATTCTGTTGAGCAAAAAAAAATATAGCATGGGAAATAAATGCTTAGATAATGTAGGCTTTGACTAGCGACGAGGTAACTGTGGATGATTGTGGATGATTGTGAATATCATCAGACATCGGAAACTCCTGGCAGGAAGGCGCTGCACTGAGGTCTTCGAGGTCAGGCCCGTCCGAACTATGTTCGATTCTGCGATTAAGAATCAGTTTTCAATATGTGCAAATCTAGTGACAACCAAGAGTGAATCGACATCTTTACTAACAAAAGATGATTCTTTGGGGATTGAAGCTAGGCTCGGTGTTATACGGTCGAGAATATAGGTGTATTTTGTTCCATTGAAGAAACGCTTCCGTGGTCCAATGGTTAGGATTCCACCCTTCCAAGGTGGAGGTTCGTGTTCGATTCACGGCGGTTGCATTCCTTGTACTCAGTGCGGTCTTTTGCCATTTCGAACATGAAGTTCACGGACACCGCAGCTATCGCACTTTCATGTCTAAACGCTCAAAAATTTTTGCTTGATTTTTAATCTGCAACCTTTCTACACCCCTAATTCACTGCAGCCCATTCTGCCAGAGTGTGTGGCTCTGACAGGCTTACAGAAATCTGCAGTGCGCGCCTGTCCGACCTTCGACAACGCTTAGGAAGGATAGCTACATCTTCGGACTTAGCACAGTCTCCATTGCTAAGAGTGATCTTCGTGACCCTTCGAATATCTATTGCTGTCACGCAGCCGTAAGTACGATTTGACTTGTTGATTGTATTGACAAATGAAATAATGGAGGGCAGATGGCATGTAAATGTGTGCTTAAGACTCGCGAGGGAGTACAGAGTGGGACGCTGGGACTTAACCTGGATGATGGCAAAAATTATATTCGTGTAACCTTTGGTCTCTCTTCCACCCACCGAATCCTCGTAATATATATTCAGTCAGAGTAATCAAATCCATGCTATTAACTTCGGTAGACCCGCCAGTACTGCAAACACTACCACTTACGTAAATATCCACAACGATCAATTTGAATTTGATTTCGTTGTCCTGATTTGGCGCCGTTTGGGCCCATTCAGGTGTCTAGCACACCTTCTGATTTACATGGGAGGGAGCCTTTGGGTGAAAAGCCCGCATGCCTTCCTGTTTGTTGTCTATGTTTTTCTAATGTATCATTAAGGAAGCCCAATTTTACTCCAGTGCCCTTCGTGTTAACCAGGGGGATATTTTCAAAACCTGTCGGCGGTGTCCCCTACGACTCTCCAGGAGGGCAAAGACTGATCATCCGCACGCGGTGTCCTCTACGAACATGGGAGTGGAATCTTCACCCAGATCCAAGTTCAGTCAAATTTCGTAATATCAAAGAAGTTGGCCCACGAGGCAAAAATTCAAATTACTCCACCATATTAATCTTTCACTCCCAACGAAATCGATTCCTACCTAAACCTCATCAAGTTTACAAGTACGACCTAGTACATCCTAATCCCAATGACCACACCTCTTGTCGACTTTCTCTGGCCTTAGCTGGTCGCCAGATACACGCCCACGCCGATATTTACACCCGACGGAGGAAGCAAAGCGTGGCGCACAAATCTGGAAGACAATTCCTTGGGATGGATGTGAGAGGGATCAGGACAAGTTGATAAGATGATGCAGAGGATGGATACAGTCTTAACGGGATTGGAAATTTGAACTCTGGCAAGGAGTTTTTACAAAGTGAGCTTTGTGCGTGCCAAGACTTCGGTTGCGAGCGTGCTGGCGACACTATAAACATCGCCATGGCTGGATGGTGCGGTGGTATATTGTCTTGGCCGATCTGCCAAGGAGAGTATGGATAGCTTGGACACATATCCCACTTAAGACAGTAAATCGCTGGTTCAAATCCAGCAAAACACAACCACATTTCTCGCGGCGCTTGTATGCATGGATGACGAAGGCATGCTTGGATAACCAATGGTTTTGAAACGTCCCTTTGGTGGGTACTCACGGAGGAGGGTCGAGTGTTTGTGTAAGCAAGCATACCTCGTAATTGCATTTGCGAAAGAAATCCGGAGCATGAATGTCTCTAACGTCAAAAGAGTCATCCTACACAGATACATAGCACCAGTCATGTCTCCTAGCTCTATGGCTGAATACACATTAAATGGTTTAAATAAAAGGGCCCGGCAAGGTTCAGAAGGATAAATTACTAATTTTAAGGATAGATGCGCATTGTGGAGGCAGAGGCTTTCTTTATTAGCAGGATATAGGAGCGGCATGATTTTTGAAACATTCGAGCAGATCAAGCCTATACTGGCGATGCCATACTGAGCCGCCCATTAACGAGTAAAATGAAGATTACCATGTCCCCGTCACAGAAGCGTTCTCCCGATTTGTTTTTCTTCGTAAATGACGTGTTGCATCTCGTCGCTGGACTTTGGCCCTCGTGGGAACGAGAGGCTGTATGTATTCAATGACTAAGGAGGCTTTGAGTGGAGGTGAGGCGTAGCCTCTGCTTCACTATCTGATGCCCATTGCCCAAAGAGCGCTGGCTGGATCTGAGAGTCAATTGTAACGAGGGGCTGCGTGGCCCAACCTCTTGTGTGGACTTAGCTTGGTATGAGACATGATCAATACATGGTCAACACATGGGATGACTCTCTCCACTTGAGATACTCTTGCTCTAGATTCCTTCGCAACTTCTGCCACGAGATCGGTCACAAGGCAATTGACTCTCCGTCGAGGAAGCTAACCAGAGATAGGTTCAAGCACTCTGGTAACTCAAGCCTACCTCTGTCATTTCGAACATTACCACCGTCAGATATGTAGCCGAGTCTTGCTGCATATTCGCTGGCATACTCCTGTGTCGAGTGGGAAGATAGGCCCAGACCATATACCACTTCACCATGCAGCCACAATTATATATACATTGCCACCTGCCCACCCGCTAACAGAGTCACACTCCACACTGTGCTCGCGATGAGAAGCTCTTCGGCGAAAGTCGGAATTTCGCTCGTTCCATGATTTCATGCATACATGGTGAATCCTTTCTATCTCTCCTGATATCGCTCACACCCATCCCGAGCATCTGCCTCGCTGATTTGGGCTCTGCTGCAGGTACGGCATTGTGGGTGTGTTTGGATGCCAGGGACTGAGCCCCATGGTGATTGAGGTGAAGACGCGCTGGGTAGTGGCTGACGGCATGAGAAGACTTCAGTTTGAACCGATGCTGTGGGTATTGCGAGCTTGGTCTCAACGTTGCATTGAGGGAGAACTTCACTCTCATATTCGTCCTAGACGCCACTTGTAAACGTCCAGTTGCCATTCTACACTCCCATCACCGGAGCGCGACGGATAGACAATCAATATATCAGACCTATTCTCACTTGACCAACGACTCCGACGAACCCGCGTGCGTGAAGGGCGCCTTGGTGGGTGTGAGCCGGTCTCGGCCATTGTCCGAGGGCGACAGGGAAGGGCCATTCCTCGCAGGCGCTCTGACCCCGGTGCAATCGGAAACAAGACTTGGCCAGGGCCCCATGTACTGCAAACTATGCCCTCGTCATCTACTCCCCATGACTGAGACGCCGGAGCACGCGCCTAGTCAGAGATGTTGAGCACAAGGACAGGGGCATTGCGTCGACTGCAAGGCAATCCGTGACTGACGGGCCCTGGCGCGTTACGGGGTCGGCAGCAGCGAGAAACTGGGTAAGCGTCGTTATCAATACTCATCACGTCTCCTCCGTGGTCGTGACAAGGACCGTCTTCGTTGCATTGGAAGCGCCGCCTGACTGGAGGCATGGCGCGTCCGACGAGTCGCTTCGTGCGGGTGATGGGAAGCTCGGACTCTGCTAAAACCTCCTCCGCGCACAATGCTTGTCATATGACCAGGGAGCATAGCAGCTACGGCTCGCGTCACACCTGGAGTTTAGTGGCCCTGCCGCCCTGGCCATGGTCCTGACTTCTGTTAGCCTAGAGCTAGCAGCTCCTCTTCTCTCAGACGACACGGGGAGTCGACAAATTGTGCCATGTCTGTGCTGCCCGCCCTACCTCACCTCATATTTCATTTTCGGAGCGAATTGTGCTCGAGAGTTTGCCTTCTCATCCCACAGCACGGCGTCTGTTAATGGGCCCTGCAAGTCAAATTTGTGGCCGTAAAATCCTACTCCCCGTCCGTACGACCATATTTGGTATTTCGCGACGATCATTTATTGTCACTTTTGCGCTAGACATGGATATGAGGGGGAGTACGTTTTCAGCCTCCATTCTTCGTCTGGTACTTATCCTTAGTTGGTTGGATAAGATTTGTTCACAGCAAGGCAATATCTCAATTTACATGGGTCTTTGGAAACTATCGATACATTGGAAATGTAGGTTTATATTAAAGATAGATTGAAATTAGATTAGTGAAGGTGATACGTGAGCCGCCCTAATCAGGCTTTTTTACACGATTAAATCTCATCCGTTGAGGATATCCTGCCTATATCATGTCCATAAGAGTTGTTCATTAAATTACCCATCACCACACCAGTGATAGATTTAGATATTTTAACGAGTTTCATGGAGTACTAGAAGTGAGAAAAGGATTAAGAACATATTATCGGATGAGCGTCAAAGGAGTCGTTTGCAAATGTTAATCTATTGATGAGGTGCCATTCCGATACTGCTGTTACCTCCGTTGAACACAACGAACTGGGATTTGAACATAATGTCTCCGTAAATCTGGAGAGGAGATTGGATAGCCTGTACACCACCGAAGCAGGCTGATAAAAAGTTAGAAGCTTGATTATTCGAGACTTTGGTCAAGACTTACTAGTGCGTGCATTGTCAACTGGAGCAAAGTTAATATCAGATCCACGGATGACAGCCATGTAGTTTCCTCCAACATCTACCTTGAGATCTGGTAGGTCCGAGTTGCACGGGAATGTGACACCACCAACCTGGGCGTCGTTAACTGCACCAGTGACTTGACTGTAGTAGGCGTTTACAATCGCAGCGCTGGTGAGCATGAGGGTGGTTCCAGTATCAGCGATTGCCTTTCCACTTGGAGCGTCGATGGGAGCTTGGTCAGCAACTTGAAATTTTGTTGAGGAGAATTGCCAGAAACCGCTGCTTGAGTCGATAGGAGCCCAGGCGAGGGAGCCATTGTACTTTGAGGAGTCAATGTTGCCAAATTCGTAGGCACCGACAGCATTGCTGCGTAAGTCAGCCGTGAATACAGGCTGAGATAGGTTTGGAATCATGTTGTCGAAGAAGGTCTTTTGTTGGGTAGGCTTGACAGTGTTCAATTTAGAAAATGCGAGTCCGACTAGACCATTGGATCCAGTATCAGCAGTGAATGATTGGGAGACCATAGTGGCCAGCTCGACAGTTTGTTTAGTGACAGTTGCACCTCCAATGTTTACAGTGTCAGTTCCAACGTTTCCTGATGCGCCTGATCCATCACCATAGGCAATCTTGAATGTGGCGCCATCCATGGGAGCAAAGGTTGAGGACTTTGAGCTATCGTAGACAGTGTGTTGACCAATTGATGCGGGTGGGAGTTGAGAGCTAAATACCCATAGATCTGAAGAGCCTGAGTCAAAGTCCATGTTGATAGTTTGTCCACCAATGCTGATGGGAGAGAGGTATTCGACATCGCCCATGACGGGGGTTGCTGTAACCTTTCCGGTGCCGTTGGTCCACGGAGCGTCAGCTCCACCGGATGAACTATCATCACCAGCGCCTGCAGAAGATCTTGCGCCGGCGGATGATACGGGTGAGGCAGGGTCAGATTCACCTGATGATTCGGTGGGAGTTCCACTAGCCTTGGCTGCGGGCTCTTTCACGGTAGCAGAGGTTGCTGCTTTTTGTGGGGTGTTGGCAACACTGGCGCCAGCGCCTGCGTTGCTTGCCATCATGGTGTCGAGGAGACCCTGAGGGAGATCAAACTGGAATTTTCGGTGAGCCTTGATGAGAGCACGGGTTCCGGCGCCGGGAGTTCGGCCCATATAGGTTGGGTTGGGAACTCGAGCAACTTTGAAGCTTCGTTTTTCGACATGGCTTCGGGATGGTGCTGCGATGGATAGGCTTGCGATGGCGAGCAGGACAAGAGCCCTTATTTGTGATTGAAGAAGCATGGTGTTGGTTATAGAATTTGTTTAGATCGATAAGTGCTCGATAGACAGTGATTAGGCCACTCCAGGTGGTTAGGTAGTTGATAATGAGTCGGCGATAGTTGGGTGATGTAGCTGTGGTGGAATAATTAACAATAGGGAAGTTGCAGGATAAATTACGTAGCAGTGAGAATTGCGCAAAGGCTGATATTGATGTCGAAGACCCTAGGAAATTAAATGAATTATAGAAAGACGAAAACGCTTAAGCACGTGCAAGGGGGATTAGACAAGAATTAAGATCGGCCGGCGATGTAGTAGAGGAGTAAATCTGATAGTAATAGATCTACAAAAAGCAAACTGATTGCGGGATGAAGAAGGCAGGAGATAGGAGCCGAGGACGGGGGTTTAATAAGTTCGGCTGTGGAGCACCAAAGATGTGGTTTGTTCGTTATTTGGCAGCCTCGAAACAATCCCTGTCGTGGGTCGCCAAACGGAAAGAGAGCGACAATGGCCCAAACACTCTCCCAAACAATGCCACGGCTTCCATGGAGCCCTGAACGTTCACGAACTTGCTGCATTCATCGTTACATCTGCCATGATACATTGACCCATCAAACCGTCATTGAATGCTACTCATTTCTCCAACCACAGCTTCCGGCATCGACACCCGAAGTCGAACGTCTCAACACAGTTTCTTGCCAGTGTTCAAGACTTATTTCACGCTGTGTATGCTTGCTCTGGTATTCCCTCGACTGGAAATCTTAAATGACTGATTCAACCTTAATTCACCATGCCCTGCAACCTGGTGTTGGGCCATGATTATTTTACGGCCTACTCAAACGACAGCTGTTCGGGAGCTGGGGGTACCTGCATGGTGTTAAGGTCAAATCGCTTCACTCGTGCATTAAAATAGATCGCGATGAGAGGAAGCTCGTCATGTTTCTTCCAGGATAAATGTGGGAGTAGTTGAAGGGGACTTTGGGCCTCTGACAGACATCCTGTAAGTCTGGTAATGGAGCTGATCTGGATCCCTCTTGTCCCTCGATCTTCCACGCTGCCTCCCTCCTCACGCCCGCACCCCCACAAAGCAGTGTCTCCCCTTATCATTCTTTATTGATTGATCACCGTTCCAAAGCATCAGGGGAAGCACGGCTTGGTTGCTCACGCTCTTGGATGTCCGGGTTTCGACGGATGGACGGGGCAAACATCGGATTTGTTCGGGCTAATACCAGGCTAGGGGATTGCGACACTGATTTCCATTCTCACAGTGATCCACTTCCTCTATTCCGAGTCGCTAAGTCTTCCCTAGCATCGTAAATCCAGGCAGGGCATAAAAGTCGCTTCTCAAATTTATCCTGTCTTCACGCGGATCGTCATCAAGGGAATTGCCCAAATGGTTCATAACACATAATTTATATTAGCCCAGTCGAGTTTAGTTTAACATGTATATACAGTCCTTCTATTACATGGAGAGTGGAATATTTATGCCTCAGGCTTCAAAATTTACCGCTATTTGTTAGCCGGCTTCCCCCAACTGGTCATCCTGGTCAACACCAGAGAGCTCGTTATTCCCTCCAGACCTGCTCCTATTTTGCTCCACAGGGAAAGACGAAACTCTCGATACAGCTCTAGAAAATTGAAGCTCTAATATCTTTGAAGACACGGGGGGCTCCAAATTTGCCTCCAAGAGTTCATTACCCACCTACCAGCAGAATTCATACTTCGGAGTGATAAAAAATTTTGTTCAATATTTCAAAGCCAAGTTCAACATTCGACCACTCACCCGCTATCCCTGTCAACATCGTTCTAACTGGTGTTTGCCTGGACCGGGCTGCTGGGGAAAGACAGTAACATTGTCGGATCCGTCAGAAGTGTGGATATTGACAGGTCTCCACATCCCCAGGTCAAAGATTGGGGGCCTTGAAGTGGTCGCCGCTGACAAAATTCGAATTTCTCTGATCTAAGTACTCCAAGATTGCTTCATGGGTCCACTGTCATGGACCTGTGACGCTGAACACAATGCAGCAATACCGTCCAATTCCCTTCCGCTTGACCGGATTCGTCATAGCAGTCATTTGAAACTAGAGTCACCAAAACATGGTATAGCAATTGCAAACACCTCATGGAGTCTGCTAGTAACACGATACGGTCAACCTCCTTTCCCAGGTGATCACAGATGAGAGGTTTCAAGGCCTGAAATCACCTAAGCATTTTTTTTGTAAATCTTGAAGCAAATTTACAGATTCTCCTGTACACAATGAACGCGGCAGGAGTGCTGGGGTCTTGTTTAGGTAGAGTAAGCGATCCTATATCCCAAGTGGAACAGATAACTAAGCTGTCCAACCTGGACCGTGAGCTATTGCAACATCCGATCCACGCGAGCTCTTAACCCGGCCGACGGGGCCCACACGGTCTTTTCTCGGCTTGCCGTTCTCCGAGCCACTAGCTTATCTGTCAGTAGTACATCTACATGCAACTTGGAGATACTACCAGGCTTGCCTAAATCCAATGACAAGTAATGTAGACCGCTCTCAAGCTTTGTATCTGTAGTCTCTATGCAGTGGATTGATAAGAAACAGTTTTTCTCAAGCAACTACTGATTTTCACACCCCATCCTGTCCGTAGCCGATCGTGATTTGTATGATATTGGTGAAATATGTTGATATTGTCAAGGCATAGAGCTGCAATTACATGAAACACTATAGCGATCAGGTGACGCACTATGTATACTACCTTCAGGAGCTACTTTTGCGTTCCCTTCCCCTCTCTGTAGACAATCTAATTCACCAGATTTGACCTCTCCGATCTTGCTTAGCTTACTGTGACAGATATCTTCTCTCAAATGCTGCGCCAACTTGTTGAACTCCAGGTGACTGTACCAATAGAAGCAAAGATATCCCTCCATTCCTACTCTGGTGCCGAGAATTTAAAGCAGTGTATCATTCACGCTGGATAATTAGTGGCCTGGGTCAGAGAGGAGCTCTATGTGTTAGATTTTCATAGACTCAAGTAGCACAATAAACTCACACACACACACATACGCCGGATAAGCCCTCGGAACGCGGTGCGTGATTCAAACTAGGGACTCTAACTCTACTGATTCGAGGTAGAAGATGCACTCAGTAGATGACGTGTAGTTCCAACATGAGTGTTTCATTAAGCGTACCCTGAAAAATGCCTTCTAGATTTTAGACTGAAGGCTTCAAGACGTCTACTCCGGAATAGCACCAACAGACAATGATGCATCAGGCAATTGTTTAAAATGCAGCTTTCGCCTTGCGCGTTTCTGGGAGCTAGCTCTCGTACGTACGAGACACTATTTCCAGCCCCTGTAGAGTTTGAGTGAAAATCGGGCTGACGAGTCTTTCCCTGTATCAGAGACCACACTGTATTGAGCGTCGATATTGACGACAAGCAGACTGGAACATTGACACCACGTCTTCAAGAGTTGAATGTTTACTCCGCTATCTAGCCATGACCAGTACTTCGTCCGTATGTTGCGAGACTCTTTTGAATTTGGAGATTCTCATACTCCGGGTTTCACTGGCAAGTTCTGCTACGAGGTGAGTTTTTGCAAAGCAGTCGACTCTTCCCCAATGAGGCTCACCAGAGAGAGGTTCAAACCCTTGTCATTTCGAACGTTACCACTGCCAGATATGTAGCCGAGTCTTGCTGGATTCGATCCCGCAATCTACTGTCTCAAGTGGCTTTAGTGTCGAAGCTATCCTGACTTTTCTTGGATGACCAACCCAAACCATTCACCACTGCACCATCCGGCCCTGGCGGTGTTTATTGTGTCGCCTGCGCCCTAACAATAGGAGGTTTGGCGCGCACAATGCTCTACAAAGTGGAAAACTTCAGCCCAGGAAACCTGAAGAATACTTCCGATGGTATCGTGAAAATTGTCTCTTGAGATTCGCTCCACACAGGCAACATCACTTTGTCTCCCACTGCACTAGGCCTCGAGGAATCGACAGGAGCCACGGCTCTGATTTAGCTAATTAAGAGTAACCGTGATGAATGTGTTTATTCCACTTCAGCGCAGGGCCGGCCAATCCCTTGCTCGATGACCGTGAGAAATTACCAACCGCGGCAAGATCTTATGGCAAAGTGAGTAGCGTTTACGCACTAATGACTCAGTTTAGTCTAGAGCAGCGCGTACCCCTGTCATGACATGCATGTCGATCAGAGTACCTTTTTGACATCCAAGTGATAGCCCATGCTGCAGGTTTCATCTCGTCGTCCAATGTGCCATGCAAAAGTTGATATAAACGCTCATGAGTTTCAGTAAATCAAATCCCGATCCAAACAAGCTCGCTGATGAGTGCTACTAGGTACCGCTTGCCTGACAGGCCCAGACGCTGGAGTTGAGAGTCATGCAGTAAGTCACGCGTTCCGGCATGGGCTGTTTGTTTCACGCGTGATGAAGCCGATGATACTGCGTTCAACGTTTAATTACGCACAATGAATTTGGTCTCAGCCAATCTCAATACAACCACCGTTCGTTAGTGCAGAAATGACTTCCAAATTCTGGACAACCTCCCGTGCAATTAAATGCATCAACACACTCATTTGCTATTTGATTGAAGCATGACGATTCCCCAACGAATTGTCCGAGAACCCCTTCGATAACCTTGAAGCTGGTGCTAAGATGAGCGCAGCCCGCTCGATCCTCACCCCATATGAGCAGAGAAATCCCTATCTATTGAATCATGGACTGCTTGCCTAATAAGTTACAATTGAGTTTTAGCACTGGTCAAGAGTTACCATCAGCTAAACACACATTCGAAGGATACGCTCTAGTCTATCAAAGACCAAGTGGCTGTCGATAAACATTAGTCGCCAAGGCTCCTCACCTTTCTTGTTCTTCCTTGATAACTCGCAGTTAGAGAGTAAGTGCTCATCCAACTGTTCTAGGTATGAATTCCAAGTGCAATTCGCCTCAGTTGCTGGCCAAGTTCAGATTAATACAGGAGAAAATGTTAAAGTAAATACCGGCTCCAACTGCGAACGAATTGTCACTGCCGCGAGTAGCGACTAAATGAGGAGCAGCTTTTCGTTTTTTTTTTTTTGCATCAGCAGCTTTTCGTTATCAAGCTAGATTCCAGAGCCTACCCCCTTGAACAACCTAACATCCTTAAAAACTGACGGTCGCAACCCATGACAAATCCATGTGATAAACTAGGGTTCCGGCGATGGATGCAACTCGAGATAAAAACATATTTTCGTTGAACGCTACGCAGCACTTACTTTAATTAATACTACATCAATGTGATCTTCTTCTAACGCCTTCACATGACAAATCTACTACAGCGTACAAATGATAGACAACGGTTTGTATAGTCTCGATTTCCTTAAAAATTGCAGGTTGATAAAAAAGGGTCTAATTCTAGGTTTTAGCCATGCAAGATGCAGCTTGAAAATGGTTAGAGAGACCTTGTTGACCCTCAAGACACGAGCTTATATAGGACACAGTAACCCCTTTTAAAGCCACGGCTTAGTACATGCGCCGTATATTGATTAAAACTCAACTGCCTCACAAACACCATAATCAAATAGCAAGACGCGACCATCATAGATAAGAGTGGCTAGGCGGTAAAAGAGATCAAGGCTAATGCCATCAGTAGAGTAGCACGCTTTTCAGTCAAACATATCGGCCTTTCAAGTCATTTTTCATATAAGTATCACAGACTTGGAGAAGCCCACATCCAAAACAATATAAAACTGGCGTTTACATAGGTTGCGTTATTTGCCAAGCTGGGCTATCGAAGATGTACTTTTGTTGCGACCTAGATGTTATGAAAAGAGTCATGCAACTTTGTATAAGACCTACACACATCACCAAAATCGAGTACGTTTGATGCCTAACCTTTCACCTGATGCCATTTTCTATCACTTCATCACACCTCCTTTACGCTAATACCGCAAAATATGTCCTTCGATGCCACTATAACATAGGGCTAAACGTTATGGGCATGCTCTCGATACTTTTAAACTTACTTTCACTGTGATCATAGTATTTACCAGACCGAAGAACCCTCGACACACTCATCGGAAATTATTCTGTAGACTGGCTACGGCTAGCCAGTAGCTCGGTAAGTTTGGTAGCCACACGAAAATAGTAGGTCCAAGGTAAGGGGAAGGTTTCAAATTTCGCAGCTCGTCCAGCGTTCAAGCCCATGTATGGTCGATTTGGTCAGAATGGGAAATGACTGGGTTACCTGGCATGAAATACTATTGGCAGCCAGCGCAACAACATGACCCGGTAAATACAGAAGCTTAATTTAAATCTCTATTTTCCGACGTCTATTGCCACAGTGAAATATTTATCACGCCTAAAGGTTCAGGACGTTCTCGAGAAATGTAAGAGGCGCACGCTAGAAGATATACGCCGAATGCCTATCATATAAACCGGAGGACGTAGATCTTAAGGAAGCGGCTAGGCTTTTCACACGCCAATTCTGCGGAGGAAGGTTGGCGTGACTTGATGCGCTTGGGGTAGCGACAGTACCTTGAAGTTTCGGGTGTCGGCTTGATCGCTATCAGAGCGTTATGTCCCCGACACGGCAAGAAGCGCGAGGCGAATTTTGGTACATGTGTGGCTACCCAAGATTCTACACCGAATAATTCGGAGAAAGAATAAATCAAGTTCAGGTCCATGGTCGCATTAATTCTTGCGAGTACAACCAAGTCCTGGCCCTATGTTAACTAAGACCACACTCTACTAACGATTCGTTTATGGTCAAGTCGCGTTGTACCTTAGGTTGGTAAAGGAGAGTAAAATACCTATCGACATCGTGTAGATCGTCCTTAGTCTCCGTAACACAGATTATGAGAGATTAAGGAACAAAAAGGCGGGAGCAGGATATTCTAGCTTTGCTAGAAATGACTACTACTAGATAATTATGAAAAACATACAAGATGCGATGTGATTATAGAAAAGTCTAGACAAGCGCTTGTGGCCTAAGATGATCAAAAGGCTGCAAGCAGAGATGAAGGTAAGACCAAACCATCCGAAAGCTGTGAAGTCGATTCCTATGGATTAGAGGGGGGAATCAATAGCCGCAAGCCGTCTATGCCGATTCCAGTAAGCAACTCCCCATCATGACTATACCCTTCCGGCCGCCACTCTACGTGGACTTGGATATTTCATCACCATATCGTCTTCATCACTGCTTGATTCGCCCATCTCATCGAGTAGACGATCAATGACGGTACTTTGCTCTTGATCAAGTGGTACTGTGCTTGATTGTGGCCGAGAGCCATGCTCAGTTGTCACATTAGTGTTCTGTCCAAAGACAACACTATATGCACAGCGTCGATTGGACGCTTCTTTTGGTTGAATGTGAAGTTCTGTGCGTAGTGGGCTCCGTTGTGGTGAGGCTTGTGGCCGTGGCGGCGGAAGAGCATGACCGAGGCTACTCACATTGCCAGGGCTACTCATGAAAAGTAGTGTCTCAATTGCATCTTGCTCTTGGGTTGTTGTACGAGTAGACTGATTTCTCGCAGATGCATCCCGAAGCACCGTACGCTGAGGTGTTTGAGGGCCTGATGCCTGGTATGCTCCAGGTGATGTATGGCTAGGGCCAGGTGGTGGATGTGGTAGAGGTGGTTTGCTACATTTGCTTGAAGTATTGGAGCGTTGCGGATATGCAGGACGAATATCGGCCGATGGTGCTAGAGCTCGGGAAGCTGGCGGAGAAATAGTACGGTCACTCGCAGCTGTACGTTCAGGTACGGAGTGGTCGCGCCAAAATGATTCATAAGTCCTTGTGGGCTGCTCAGATCGATAATAACTTTCATACTCGGGAATTGGTCCCTGAGTTTTGCCGATACGTCTCTGAACACTTGCGATTGCAGCGCGTGGAGATTTATGGAGATTTGATCGATATGGAACGGTGGAAGTGGAAGATGTCGGCGATCCTTTCTGTGATGCTAGCGATTCTACCTCATCGATAGAGTTGGATTGCCATCCATTATTTACCTTCATCATTGCATAAGATAAGCGTGTCCGTAGTTCGGCAGTAAGCTGTTCACGTTGAGTCACTAACATTTTTCTTGTTGGGTTATCAAACTTACCTCTCCTATTCTTGAACTACTTGCTGTAGACGCATTGCTGACAGTACTGATTTTTCGCGAGTGCCGATGAGCCTGTGAATATTCTGGTGACATAGGAGAGTCTAGTTTGACTTGACCGTTGGCTGTCCTTTTTTGGCCAACAGCGGTAGGCGTGGCTACAGCGTAGTGATGTGGTTCAATACTAGCAGCTGGGCGCGGAAATTCTGATATTTCGGGTCGAGAAGCGATTAGGCTCGTATCTTGAGTTGTTTCAACGCGGCTTCCAACTGGTGGCAAGACCTCGGGATTCATAGATTTTAATCCTGTTCTAGAGTGCTCACAAGGTTCCGCTTCCCTCTCATAGCGAGAGGAGGGGTTACCAGATTCGGATATGGGACGTGTTGGATAAGTTCCAGTAGTAGAATCGGAGGATTCATTAGATATATTACCCTTGGCCCTCTCACATAGATCTTTATTTCGAGCAATCTGGCTGAGTGCAGCGATAGCTAGTTCGTGAGGCTCCATCGTTGATTTACTCTGCCACTATTTGATCAGATAACCTTCTTTTACGAGCTGCTGGAGCTTATTTGAATTGAATTGTGATGTGCCTCAATCAAGTGTGATAGACGAAGGGCGGCTATTCCAGCAGGCTGGCTGTTGAGCCGCGATGCCACGCGTCCTCTGCTCCGATGGAGCAATTAGAACGAAAGCTCAGGTATACACGCAGTTTTCGCTGGTCGGCACGCGTCCTCTAAACGATAGTCAATAGGGATATGGTCAAAGAAGAGAACAGATGCGATGAGATAATGTTTATTAGCACATTGGTTCCGGACCCGGTGTGCTTCCCCCACTCTAACCTCAACGCCTGATCAAGTGACCTGGGCTGTTGACAATTTCGCGTTAAGGTTGATCCGCTGGGCTCGAGCCAATCCCTTGGTTTTTTCCCTGAAGAGCGCTAAATGTATAGCGCGTCCCATCATGTTCTGCTGTCTATTCAATTGAAGGCGGAATCCCTAAGGATGCTTTGGAATTACGTTGATCGAAATCTACGCGACTCAACGATAATGAGGCTGTAGGACCTCATCTAGACAGATGGTAAATTTTTCCAGATAACAGTTCTAGTATCATTGTCAAAATGGACCCCGCAGAATAGACAGATTCTGGTGAGGATATTACGAGAGACGAATATAGAATTTCTCTTAGCAGCCCACTGAGGAATTATTGAAGCACATGGGATGAAAGATAGTCTTGATTTATGCGAGCCTACCACTCCTCAATGGTCTTGATCATCTTGGCCTCACCGAAAACGGCGCTCTCGAGGACACTAATGTTTTAGCTTTTAGACATCTATTCTCGACTTCACGTACAAAATTTTGACAACCATCGAGCGGGGCTCAAGACCCTGATGGTGAGTAGGTATCATGATGGCTAAACCTCCTTCAGCTTGAGGTCGTTCTGATTAGTCATGCGGCTAACCCACGTGCGTCATTTCGGAGAATAAGCAAGTAATCTACAACTCTCGCCGGATTATTGGCTCAGACTTTGCGGTATGATGAGGGTGTTACTTGTACCGCCGGTTCTGGGACTACGATATGACATGTTTCAGGCACCTGACGCAAATGAAAGATTAGTATTGAATAGCATGCGGAAAGCATTGTGCAACAAGGTCGTCATGACCTGTAATTCTCTATCGTACGTGAGTGTTACGGTACGAGGCACCCCCGCCCTCTTGCACGGAACAGCAGCGGCATGCGCCATCTACACAGCATTTTGTGCCGCTGAGACCAATCGGCCTGAACGAAAAAGAACAGTTGCTCTAGATCTGGTAATCGGGGCAATAGTTAGATGACTAAAGTAATTAAAACAGCCAACGACGCAACGCCGCTGATATGTCGCGGGACGACCACCACAGTTCCCCACAGGGTTTTTGGATTGTCGCTTCTAGAGAGAGCATCAGGTGATCACGCGCCTTGCAACAGAGGGACTTATGCTGTCGGACGCAAGCCACCTGTCTAAATGACGAGCGAAGAACGCGATCGCTACGGGTAAATTTATCACACGTCTCACCGCCGTAGGCAGATCATGCCTAATATAGAATAGTTTTCATACTCACGTGGCCCACATAGACAAGTTGAGATTGAAGGAATCAGTAATGACAAAAGTCAAGATGTTCTTTAGCATCATAAAGGAAAGCAATTGGCAATGGCATCCATAAATATCGCCTCTGGATCTTCAACAGAGACATCTGAATATTTGCTAACCTTCTAACCCGAAAAAAGTTGAGTCAGAACTGGCCTCAGAATGCATCAACTCTGTAAATAGATAATACGAAGCTCGCACTCTTGATAGAATAGCAAGTTGCATGGTATGAAGACTCGAGTTTCTTTATTCGGCATACTTGCAGATAACCTCCTCCATATAGCACGCTAATCTTCCCACGTATGGGTCTATTCGGGTGATTCGTTAGTTGCCTTGAGAATATTATCCATCGCGAGTGGACACCTCGATAACTATCGAAATACCAGCTGGCAAAGTCGAATTCTTCACCTTCCACTGGTGCAGGTGTAATCGCTCGGCACGCTCTGCATATATCAGATAGCGAAGAAGAACCGCATCCGAATCGAAGCCGAAAACAAACACAGACACATCTACAATTGGCGACTTTTCACCAACGTCGGTCCCGTCATTCTCACGAGGGTCCTCTACCCTTAACCTCTTCACACACCACTTCGGCTCAACGGCCTATAAAGGCGTTACACTAATTGCAAACAGGAGCTTGCCTCATTTGTTACCGACCATTACTCACTACAAATTTACGAGGCCACGTATACTCGCAAGTAGGAAATTAAGTCATAATATATAAAGTTGGGGTCTTGGTTTATGAGGGACCATTGCTCTAATTGGGTTATATATCTTGAGGAAGGACAGGTGACTGAGGCGTGGAAAAATATAAGAGACCTCCCGTAGGAATAAAAGTTCTGATATTCTCGAGATGTTTGCGACCTTGGAACGTTTGTGGGCGCCAAGACCGAGATTTCGGCTAATTAGCCAGGAGGGCTTCTATACATTAAAGTTCTGGAGATGTCTGGAATAATAGAAGTGAACGTTAATCGTCAATTCAATACTGTATGAATCGTAAGATATTGGGGATTTCAGGATCAGAGATAAAAGACTAGGATCAGTGAGGTTTTTGGTTTAATGAACTTGTATTTGTTAAAAGTGTTAGTTTTTTTAAACTGCATCTAAATATTTATGTTCTACCTCGATTAGGTAGAAACATCGTGTTCTGATTTCTTGATGGAACAACATTCCTACCACTGAGATCATTACCAACAGAGACCTCACCAAAGCTCGTAGCGATCGACGATCAGTAGCCTTCGTCTACTCTACACTGCGTGCGGTTCGGTCTAGTATGTCCAGATTTCAACAAGGCCTAGTCTTTCGACCTTGTTTTGTAGTAAAAGGGGAACAGAGGTATTACTTAAATACTTGGATACATCCAAGTGCCCGGCAGCACATAAAGGGAGCTGAATTAGGACATGTAATTGGGAAATGTTTTACTTGGATTGAAGGAAGAATGCTGGGAAGGAAAACAAGAGGCCTAGTGTTGTGTTCCAGTCATTGTACAGATCAGTGTACTACAATACCTATGCAATGAATGGAATAGAACATAGTAGAAAGGAACATGAGAAAATAGAATACATTGGTATAGAATATGATGGAATTGCATGGGATTAGATCACGTAGAAGTAAATGGAAGACTGTGGATTGTTAAATACCATGTACTAGAGAGTAGATGACATGTAAATCTAGAGGCAGAATCAAGTAGGTGGTCTGTAGAGAGGATAAGTTGGAATCCGCGAATATCAAGATTCTACATATCTTAAATCTCTACGACTTCATCTCTCTACCTCTTTCGAATCGCTCTAAAGGTAGTTCCGCAACGTCCTAAATATACACATAACTACCATAACCAGACACCGGAACTACATGAGGTGCGCATATTCATCTATATCTTCCTTCTTTGTAACATTCGAGGACGACTTTATCCAATTCACCATGGCCGTATCGGGTGCTAGGCACGCTCCGGATGGCTTTTCCTCCATGATCGAGGGTTGGTAATGAGAAGGGTGTTGAGACCTTGAATATAAACTATTATTACGGGGCAAATAACGCATGGGTCATATATATACCTGACTGTTAGTGGTTACGAGCCGGGCAGGAAGCTTGGGTGAGTTTGAGTTATGGAATATCCAGTCACGTGATGGTGACATTCGGATATTAAACAAGAGGCAGGACGACGAATAACACGCTCCGTTTAGGACAAGAATAAAGAACACTAGTAGAAGTTATTAGTGTTGGCTCTACAGAGCCGGATCACTCGTGGACAATGAGTGATGTATATAAGATAGGAAATGTGGATTCTAATTTCATTAAGTCTTTACTAATATAACAATTGTTATCTCGTTCCAACAAATGGCTCTGACCCTAACACTGATCTGATCATGGTTGGCCTCATGATAGTAGTGATAGGGGGATGTGTTGAGAGATGAAGGAGACACAGACCGCAAAAGCGATAGGGAATCCTCGTCGAAGTGAGGACTTTGTTACTCAATCTCGGCTCTGCAGACTCCACTGTGAGAGCTGGAGGTTCTCAGGAGACACCACTGACATGTATTGAGAATAGTCCCCCATCGATGCATAGATGAATAGACGGTGAAGATAAAAAATTGGCTGCCTGATCCACCTTTGGAAATCCTATGATTCACACCCTAATATTTTTGTCACATATGATATCTAATGGGTTTAAACTTTCCCTAAGGTGTCTGGCCACGCCTTGTCAAATTTTGAAGTTACAGGATAATTCATGCCACATTATTTTCCCGAAAGTTAGCTAGAAAATTAATTGTGATGTAGGCATGGGTAGATATGGAATATTGAATAGGCTCGGGATAGCAGAGAGAATTGGAGAACGATTATTCAAGCTTGATAATATGATGAATAGCTTGGTAGTTCTCCATCTGCATGTCGTGGTGGTAGATGATACTTATATTAAGAATATAGTAGGTACTGATGGTTCCACCCAGGTTGAATATTGCAACCTCAGGCCATTAGGCTCGACAGACAATAATAGCTGACTAATCTGGAGAGGCCTGTGCGTCACATCTGATTCGTAGAGGTTCGAAACACCCTAGATAGATGCAATAATAATATAAACAATTCAGTACGCTCTATCTCCATTCCCCAGCACTAGTGCTTAAGTCCTGTCAACAGGTACCAAATATATTGAAATACTTTTGAAGTCAACAACTGTGTGGGAGAAAATGTACCCACTACACAGTACATCACCGTCTGTGCCGTTGTGTAGAGCTGCGGCCTAATAGTCGAACCTATTGTTTAATGCAAAAATTGGAAAAGAAGCAACTCTCCACTTCCTTCAAAGTACTGGATGCATTGATGCATCCAGTGCTGACTGAAAGGGAGGAGACTAGAAGATAAGTAGATGGAATAGAGTTTAAATATTTGTATTTAGCCAAAAAATAATGGGATGTGCCATAGCTAGATAGCTGAATACACTATGAATTAAAAAAAATAGTCGAACCTAATGATGACCATACAGAGCTGTGCAGTACTCGCATAGATGTGCTATATCCCTGACGCTTGGCAGAGATGTATTCAGAGCAGCGGCGATGATCACATCACAACAAGATTCACCTAGTGACTCTTTGCACTATTCCGCATAGCCATGAATATAATACTGGGAAGCATGAGATATTAGCCACCCAGAGTTGCTAAAAGGGCCTCAGCCGCTATTCAATAGCAAAATGTATCATGCTGTACACTGCGTGGCAGCGTTAGTGCAGGGGCTAATGGAATAGTGTGTAAGGAGACAATTCGATGGGAATCCCGAGCACCAGTTCCCCTACCCAAACACACACACACACACACTTATCAGCCGGTAGTGGTTTCACGCGGTTGGAATGAGTTGGGCTGTGGTAAAGAACACAGGGATCCCTTCAGGCTCCACCGGTCTTGTACCCACAGCGGACCGGGAGCAGTAGCTTAGGACCTTAAAATTACAAACAAAACTTATCAGCCGGGGAGGAAATGCCATTATCGGTGAAAGTTTAGCGTCTCATTTTCCAGCCATCTGCCAGTCATCGGTTACCCGAATTCCTTGGTCAGCTCATCGGCAATGAGCTGGATGGTGCTGCTGTATGCTATCATGGACGTCCTCCTGAACATGTCTGCAGTGGCCTCATTGAGTAGCCGCACACACTGCGAAGTTGTTCGCTGATATTCAGCAATGTCCCTAATCCAATGAGATGATCCAGGCATGTAGATATTGGCAAAAGTTTCCGAGGTATCCCTTCATTGGGAAAACATGGTAGAATGAAAGGTGGGGATTACGACGGTAACACTAGAAAGGCATACCAGCGAATGTAGCCAAGCTAAAGGAGTCGTCATTATTACATGTTTTATATATTGTATCTCAGAGTTTCTTGATGAGGATCTTCCCTGCGTGATACATTTAGCACGAATTAGGGTCTGGCGCCGTATTCAGGATAGCACAATTAGTATATAGACACATTGTTGCAAATGAGCGGTTATGGCAACCGTGCATCACATAGTAGGGTTATTGAGTCGCTGATTAAGCGTTTTTTGATAATCATGGCCCTACTTAGTCTATGACTATGAAGGACATGTGATCCTTTCTGCCAAGAATCGGAAGTATCTTTGCCTCCTTCACGACCTCCTTCCAGCAGTAATAGTCCCGAATGTCTTCATTTGAGTACGTACTAAGAGGAGCTGTTATCCCGTCATTATTTCCCCTCTCTAGCCAACTAAACGATGACCATTTGCTGGTGTGTTGCTGCCGGAAATAAGTCTTGAAAATCACTGGGTGCGGGACTCTCCTATGACGAAGAGGTCGTTCAGCTGGGTGCAGCAGACCTTTGTATACCTAAGAGCGTCTCTTACCTTCCTAGCCTTCTCCTTACCCCTCCCCTAATTCGTGCCGCAGGACAAACCGAAGGTCATGAAAGGATGTCAGAAGCGTCTCGGTCGAGATTTGTAACCGTGAAGGAGCTTAGCCCAATATCCACAAGTCCTTGCGGACATGGGATTGTCGAATTACTCACGTTCTTCAGGTGCTCTTCCGGCTAGTAGATTCAGTATTAGTGGTCAAAAGAGACTATATTTTGACGAGTCAAAATATTCTTTTCCTGAAGACAGAAGAGGCTTTCGTTTGCACACCGATGGGCAGCATATGCTATGGTATGATGGGGGCTTTATGACTACCATTTTAGCGTTTGGCAACGAAATATCCTCTTTATTTTCTAGCGTCATTGTCGTCTTTTTTGTCGTCATAAGAGCTTTCGGAAGCGTATCTTTGAGGGAGGACGAGATGACCCATCTCAAAGTTGAAAAGGTGTTACTGAATCTGAGCACCGTAGACTTTATATTTAGAGATGAAGATTCCTTTTTTATGTCAATTAACGTGTATTTAGCTATATAGCTAAGATACATTATCAATGCTATGTGTTCATATTGGATGACTCTTTTGACGTTAGGGACACTCATACCCTGGATTTAATTCGCAAATACCACTGAGGTTTGCTTGCTTAGACAAACAGCCGATTTTTCTCCGTGAGTACTCATCAAAGGGACCTTTCATAAGCTTTAGTTACCCATGCATGCATTCATCATTCATGTAAATTTTCACCGCGAGAAATGTGGCTGTGTTTTGCCGGATTCGAACCAGCGATCTCCTGTCTCGAGTGGGATATGTGTCAAAGCTATTCAGACCTTACTTTAAAGCATAGCACAGATGACATACCACTGCACTATGTAAAAATGGCAGCGTATATAGTGTCGCCTATACTCTCGCAACCGAAGTCGAGGCGCGCACCGAACTTAACTGTAAGTCTCTTGCCAAAAATCGAAATCCCATTCTTTACGAGATTATATCAATTCATAGCGTAATACTATTCATCTATCCTGATTTACCCTTATTTCCCCTGCTTTTACTTCAAGGACTTGCTTCCCAGATTTGTGAGCCACGATTTTTGTCTTACTGCAGATATTTATGTTGTCCTAGACAAGTATTTGAAGGCCAGCTCAGGCCAGAGACTGACTTGGCGAGAGTTGTGGTTACTGAATTAAGAATATACTAGGCCGTATTTGCAGACTTGATGATGTTTCGGTGGGAATCGATATCATTGGAAAAGAGAGATTGATTTGGTACAGAGTATTGAATCATTGCCTCCTAGGCCAACTTCCTTGGTATTACAAAATTTGACCGAACTTGGCTCTAAGAGAATACTTAACTCCTAGGTTCGTAAAGACATCGCAGACAGGTGATGAGTTTTCGCCCCCCCCCCAATGACGAACTGTTAGCCTGAACTCGAAATAGTCGAGGTTTATTAGCGTTCGTACGTCTTCAAGGGTAGAGAATCGTAACAGAAACAAGCTCTATTGAGAATTGACTCAGGCTTTATCTATCATTTATTAAAATTTTACACACAACTACTCATTTATGAAACCCTAATGTAGGAGAATTATATTTCTCCTTCACATTATTCAGACTTTTAAAATCTCCATGTCTATGGTCAAGGCTATTTTTTTCGCGCTGTATTGATTTTCTCCTGGAATCTGCGCTCTTTAGCTTTGGCATAAAAACTTTATTGTCTTCCATTTTGAACTGCATCCTGTTTGATCTTTTATTTGAAATGGATACATTTTCCATTTCACATTTGCTCTCTTGGACGTGAAAATATTCAGGTAAGAGGTCTCGAAGTAACTTCTCTGGTTTTGAGCCAGAATCATCAGAATAATGGGTGAGGGTTTCTACAGAAATATTTTTGCCCGTCACTGGAATCGAGAGAGATGAGACAGATGGGTTCTGTGCAGATTTATCTTCGGTTGTTCCATTGTGCTGCTGAGCCTGCGTTACTTGAGTATCAAATTTCTTGTCTTCAGTAGCCTTAGACCCGTCCTCAAATACACATTTAAAAACACTGAAATACTGATTGCTAATCATTAATGAGGCAATGCTTCTTTGAATTTTTTTCAAATAAATATATTTAAATGGCCAGAAAGTTTCTATGACATGAAATTTTCGAGTTTTACTTGCCCCGATGTCTCTCGTATCATCATATTTCTGCTCTTTTTTTGAATGATCTGATAGAGCTGTAAAGGTCTCAAGGTTTGTTGAAATAGTAGCATCTTTGTTGCATTCAAGTTTTTCCTCTTGAAAATTTTCCTTAGATTGAGGTTTCGTTTGAATGTTATGGATCCCGGATGATGAAGATCTCTCTTGTCGTGGCGAATGAATTTCACTTTGACGACAATCTAATTTCAAAGAAATGGAAGTCTCATCTTTTCCAATATTCATTATTTTCTGGCACGATGTAGATTTTACTGGAGAATTGGCCAAACAGACAGCTATAGCGTAGTCACCGTCATGACTTATATTCAGCTGCACTTCTTCTCCTTGTTCCCATCGCCTTAAGTCCTCTTCGTATTCTTCAAGTAAAACCTCGGCTTCGAAGGCTTCTTTAGACAAAAGTTTTATTTCTTCTGGGGAACGGAATCTGAAGATATCCCGACAAACTATACCATTACTATTGATGACATCAGACTGCTCCGCCAGCACGACAGCTCGGGGTGCTCTGCTCCTATCCACTAGATCTGAAACTTCTACAAAGTTCCGAAGACTTGGAAATTCAATTCCTTCTGGTAACACAATAATATCATGAAAATTCAGCTTGCGATGTCGCATTGCTTTTATGATGGCCTCCTTCGCAGCAAAACGACCAGCTATAAAGTCGTAAAACTTACGTTGCGACGAATCATTCAACCAAGATTTGTTGGAATCGCTTTTAAAGTAATATCTCCGCTCGTGATAATTAAAGATACGCAGTAATAGCCTGTGTCGACTAGCGATGATACTTTTTGAATCTGATCGAGGTTTATTTGAGCTGTCTGGAAGTGCGAACTTTCTATGGGGAAATTTTGTTTCATGGGTCGTGGATGTCGAGGTTTGACTTCCGATGTCGGCGGACGAAGCCTTTAGTAGAGCTCCATTGAGACTCTTGATGATCCTAGGAGTATGGCAGATATCGATACCGACTTGTAGAGGCAGAGAAAATGGCTTTGGCATTCTTGATCATGTTATTGTAAATCTGCGTTTAGGTTTCTTTTTATGTAACAGCGTTTGGTAGGTCCACTTGGGGTCTTAGGTGACCTCTGTAGTTTTTAAAAATTCTTATTGATCAAAAATATTGATGGCCTGACCTAGTTAGTGTTGAAAGGCTATAACCTGCCGGAATGACGTACCGTTGATGGAGTTAGAAAAGAGGTCGTTTCGCCTGTAGACGAATACTTGAGGAAACTCTCAGGTGTGTTAAAGCGCGCAAGTGACTAGGCCTGGTAATGTCATAATGCTTTTCCGGTGAACTTGTTACATCCATGCAGTAGAAGTATCACATTTTGAGATGGATTTCTAAATTTCCGCACGCTAAAATATCATTAATCAAATTTTCTCGCCGTTGACTGAACATGGTTGCGAAAGTTTTTAACACCCGGTAAGTGCCCATCGACCTCTGTTTAAATAAATTGTCTCTTATTTTCTGGCGATGAGGCCACATGTACACGTCGGTAGCGTACGTACACATTATTGCAATAAATTATTAAAGATTGTGTACAGAACGGCAACAACTTAGCTGTCCGACACACAATATTTCCCCATTAGATTTACCACCGCAAGGATGTATCATTAACTAGTTTCTAGTCTCCGTACTCTGTCCATCCCCCACCAGTTTAGTCTATGATTCAAGTAGTACAATAAATACACACACATACATCCCCCGCCAGTCTTCCATGGCGGCTAGCTCTTGGCCTCCGTCCAAATCATTACCCAGACGCGTCCCGGCGCGTCCCGTCGCGAGATGGTGCGAAATGAATAGCCAGAACATTTATCGAGTGAAGCCGACGCTTTGGGCAGCGCCTTGGTTGGATGGTGCAGTGGTACACCATCTGGAGCGGTCTCCCAAGTAGATTCTGGATAGCTTGGACACATCCGACCTAAGTGAGAAGGTCCATGATTCGGATCCGGAAAATTTGAACTAAATTGCTAGCGATGCTTTTGTACATGGCTGACGAAGGCATGCTTGGATAATCAAAGGTTTTGAAACTTCCTGTTGGTGGGCATTCACGAAGGAGGATCGTCTGTTTTTCCAAGCTAGCATACCTCATATTGGTACTGGCAAATGAAATCCAGAGTATGAGTGTCTCTAACGTCAAAAGAGTCATCCTACATGTATACATAGTACTGGTCATGTGTCATGTGTCATAGCTCTATAGCTGAATACACATTAAATGAAAAAAAAGATATCACAAGCCATCTTTACATATCTGATCGCTCAAGCATCAATTCTCGAGCCGTGACCGAAAAGTGAATATTCATGAATTCATACCCCCATCAATTCTTCGCTCTAAACGAGATCTAGTCCAACATACTACCGAACAAGCCTGCAAGGACGACCTATTCCCCAAGAATACGAGTACCCGCATGAGGTAAAAGTCGCAGAGAAAAGGTCTAGGAGGCAGATACATCGGATGGACGTGAGAGAATTCAGGATAGATGGAAGGTAATGCTAAGGAATCAACCTTGAAAGATTTTGCACTAATCATTAGTCTCAGTGTTACGGTTTGACCGTGGTTTGGCTTAGGCGGAGACCTAAGCGGAGTTTGGGGGCGTATTCGGGAGAGTGTTACACATTATCTTGTATCAAGCGACTTAGTTTCACTTGGCCACATTACATTAAAGCTAGGAAGGAATGTGAGACGGCGAAGTAGAATTGCCAAGTGAGAGGGTCAGCTAGATGGCAAAGATGACGACGGGCAGTGGCGAAGCAATATGTCATTCTCACCAACAGAGTACGTATTGGATGAGCTAGAAGGATGTACAAATAGTCATTGCCCGTAGTTGTGATACTTCTCTCTTCATATAGTTTAATCTTTCTAAAAGTACACTACAACCAGCTTGGTTTCGTCACACTCAGTCATAGAGCCGAATAGACTTGATTGAAACGTAAAAACTTTAAAGAAGTGAGATTTCAATTTTGGGGCGTCTTTCATATTGAAGAGCTTTGAGATCGCAAAAGCTTCGTCTGTGAGGATGCAAGCGACACTATTGACATATCCATGGCTAGATTGCTGGAGATTTGAAAATTTGCTTTGGCCAGGGTCAATTGCTCTATCTAACCAAACTTTTGAATGACCTAATGACTTAAAGTTACGGCCTCGCCTCAACCTGGCCCTAGGTACAATAGCGTGAGTACTTGTGGTACGTGCACGTTAGCATATAGTCCCTGTCCGCCTCTAGATACTCTCTCCTCATAGCCAATCTACTTCTTTCATCTCTACATTAGAGCTGCCTTCCTGCCACTTCCTCCTCTCGTGATTCTTAACGACCTTTCATGTATTATATTATGAATGATGACTAATTATGTTGATGAGTAATGAGTTACCTGTTTAGGAATGGCGTCAGGAGAGAGGGACAACTGCTGTATATACGTGCTTCATTTAGCTAGGAGGAAGGAGAAAATATATGTTAACCACCAATTGTTATTACTGCTACAGAAAGCTTGTGATATAAATACCACTCGAGTATTCCGACACAAACTTTCTTCAGTGTATTTGAGAGTGAAATCCTAAATATGAGTGTCTCTGAAGTCAAAAGAGCCATTTTACACTCACGCAAGAAACTGATTATATGTCAAAGCTGGATAGCCCAATACATGTAAGATTTTTCAAAAAAAGGCAGGTATAGATGAATTCTGGATAAGTGAGTTGGACAAAAATGTGACTTATTTTCTAGTTCATTGCACCTCTACGCATTTTTTTACACTTGCACCCAGCGCTATTTTATTTCTATCTTTAACATTTATGGAATGCTGTACATGTGAAACTTAACATTTTTGGCGCTGTAAGGCTCTTTTTGCATCAGAACTAATTCACAATCTCCGGCTCCAACGGCTCATCTAAATAGAAGCTAAGCCCCTTGAGCCGAAAACGCGTCTAGGGATACAGTTAGATCATACGTGAGGCCAAATTTTTTGTATCTAACAAAGCTCACTTTCACCGGAAAACTGCATCAGACCAGTCCTTGAATTACACAGAATTTTTGTTATTCCGTTCTCCAATCACTATAGATGACCAAGATTTCAGTAAGGCGATTCGTTAAAAGTCTAAAACTTCATAGAATATGGCACAGATCTAAAGATTTCCTACATGATTATTCCTAAGGGTATTACGGGCTTTCCCGGATTTTTGCACTAATAAAAGGCATGAAAAGTGTCAAGTCAGTTAGAGGTATTTATCGAGGTTTAAAAAAATTGTGGTCAGGACAAGAACATACGAGATATTATTAATTTAAACTAAATGTAGGCGGCGGAAGTTTGGATTTAGGTTGCTAGATATGTTGATCCACTATTACTGTAAGTTTTAGTGTTTTTCATTTCCTGCATGAGGAATAATGTTCATTGAAATTTTTAATCAGGTAACTTGACAAGACCAGTTTATGCTAAGGCTCATACTTCGTAGTAGGTTGGTAGTTGTTACCAAACTGGCATGCTGAAGCAAATTAGAAAGTTACTAAGTTAGGACTAAGGTCAATCCGAATGAAGTATCGATGCTGCATGACTTGGTGTAGTGTTGTCGAGGCAAAAAGGAAAATTCCAAGGTCAAGAGTAAATATACAGCATATTGTATGCTACTATGATACTATTCATATGATTTTGGGTTTGGGTTTGGTTTACATGATTAGCTGCTGTCATTAGACTAACACATCTCGAAATTCTCTGAGAAGTCAAAGAAAACTCTGAATGAAATTGTGTTAATTATGTTGTAATCAAAGCTAGTGACTAAATTTTTAGATCTGAACCGCAGCTTAGAGTAGAAGACAGGAATCGATGATTGGGCTTTTCGAGAATTAGATCAAAGACCAAAGTGGGGGCGGCATTTTAGCCAAATCGTACTTAGAGTTCGATACGTTGTGGTTGGCATTCAGATCGTCCAGACGGGTCCTTTGATCTCCTTCCCAATGCCCCTTTTTAAGTACAACAATCACCTTTCTTTCACTCATACCATGGTTAGTCGCATAGCTGCTCCCCTCGCTTCTTGAATTTAACCCATAATATTCTGCTAGCTCATGAACTAGCCAACGCACAAATCCGCTACTTCCTTCATCACTTTTAAAGATTAAAGACTCGCTATCTTTACTAATTTTTGTAGGAAGTTTTGGTTCGTCTGACATAATAACTCCCCGTCCGTCGCTATCTCTTCCGATGAAGACAATTTCTTCATCTTCACTATCAACTAGAATCTCATTTCTATTGTTTTGTTTGTTATTATCCTCAATTGATTGCTGAATGAAATTTCGAATCTGATTCTCGATGCCTTGTAAAAGAGGTCTAGCACCCTTAGCTTTCTTTAGAGCCAACTTGACGTTGTTGGGCACTTTAGGTCGAATAGATCCAGATTTAATTTTCTTGCGTTGTTCTGGTAGACAATGAGATCTACTATCCCAAAGGTTTGCGAGATAATATGGGACATTTTGGTGAACAGTGTGGGTGGGATGGACTTCCCAGTCTGATGGAAGCGGTGGTTGGTAATTAGGAACATTCAAGAAGTTTGCTTAAAAATATCAATAAGATCTTCCAGTAGAGAATCACAAACTTTACCGTTGTCATAACGCTTCCTTCGCCTACTGCCTTCATGACCCTTGACGAAAAGATCTCGGCGACTTTGGTATTCATGTTTGAGGGTGTCATTCTTTTTGGCCTTCAAAAATTTGGCGTGGGACTCAACTGAGGCGGCCGCCTGCTCAAGTAACACATCTGATATGTCTGGAATGGTTTGGTCTAATGAAGAGATATAGTCAGGCTCAATAGGATGCAAATACGATAAACCAGAGTGTTGGGGCGTCAATGGTACGATGGGTAGAATGGCCATTAGCACAAGTTTTCCCAAAAATTTACTGAGTGCGTTGATGTTTATTATGAAGGAGATATTGGTTGACGTTTAGTCGGCACCTTAGAGTTCTGCTTGGCTGTAAACTCGCTCAGAGGTAGCTCGTCATTTCTCTTTAAGGGCCGATTAAGGCGCAGACTGCGAAATGCGATAAGCTAGATTGGGAGCATGAAACAACCCCCATCCACAAGATGCTGCGCGCACGGCTTGTGCTCGAACTTAAGAAAGGAAATTTAATAATAGCCGGTAAAAGCTTCTGCATGTTCAATTGGTATCAAAATTGTTGCTCTCATTTACTACCGGTGGTAAATGTTCTGAAATCGGGTTCACTTGGAATGTCCCGCCACATTATGCATTCCCGAAGAATGGGTTTAAAGGCTATCAAAAAATCCCACAGGTTTGATCCTAGGCTTGCCTTGATTGATCCAAAATTTTAACCTAGAAATTCCTTTATTTAAGTATTGTACTTCCTATACAGTTGCTTGCATCTACTAAACTCCCTTCTACGCCCATAGAGTTACGATTGCTAATAATAACTCTCAGATCCCATTCGCCAGTCAGCATGGCTACGTCGTAATGGTTTTTAACCTAATCGGCTACGGATATGTACAAGGGTATCTAAATCTACGCGTTAGACACCAACAGCCCCGCGATACGGAGGGCAAGACTGAACACTTGTACGTGGTGTCTTCTACGAACCTGGGAGTGAAATATCCTCCCAGAGCCAAGTGCAGTCAAATTTCGCAATATCAAAGAAGTTGGCCCACGAGGCAATGATTCAAAATACTCCACCATGTCATTTTTTCGCTCCCAACGAGTTCGACTCATACCTAAGCCTCATCAAGTCTACAAGTACGACCAAGTACATCCTCATTCCAATGACCACACCTCTCGTCGACTTTCTCTGGCCTCAGCTGACCGCCAAATACACGCCCACGGCGATATTTATACCCGACGGAGGAAGCAAAGCGTGGCGCACAAATCTGGGAGACAGTTCTTTGGGATGGACGTGAGAGGGATCAGAACAAGTTTACAAGATGATGCAAAGGAAGGGTGTAACTTCGAAGGGCGTGAGATTCCGAATTTCGGCAAGGAGTTTTACGAATTGGGCTTTGTGCGCGCCAAGACTTCGCTGGCGAGAGTGTAGCTGAAATTTTTTAAAAACAAGCCGACGATGGAAGGTGTTGTGATCCGCCTCCTGGTGATATTCCTGGCATAGTTTGAGTAGCCTGGGTACCTACTCCACTTGGGAAGGAGACACCAAAGACCATATTTCGCGCGGAGAAATGTGAACGGATGATGGAGGCATGTCTGGATAACCCAGGGTTTTGGAGACGTTTCCCTGGGTGGGTATTCACGGATGAGGATTGACTTGGGGTGAAGAAAAAGCCGCCATAACTTCGCAATGGTACCTGCAAATGAAATCCGAGACATGAGTGCTCTTCCCTGAAGTTGAATCATCTATTCTGTACTTTTCTTTGATATTGTGTCATAGATAGATAGCTGCAAACGCAATTAAAATCTAATGCAAAAAAAACCAAAAAAAAACCAAAAAAGCCCCACGTTACTCGTGTCGCTGGGTTACAAAGATAAAGGCAAGTTTGGATAATAACAGGTTTTGAAACTTCCCTCTACTGGGTATTCACGAGGAAAAGTCAACTATTCTGCTTTAACAAAAACACCTCATAGTGGTGATTGTAAATGAAGTACAGAGTGTTAGTAACTCCGGATTCATGAGAGTCACAAAACTTTTACTCATGGTATTGATGTGTCATAGCTCTGTAGCTGAATACACGTTGAGTGATCAAAGAAAATTTTGGAAATTGAGACCCAGAGTGTTGTGGACGTAAAGGCCCTCCTTTTCGTCTAGGTTCCCGACACGATTTCGTGTGTATTTAAGAGGTTGGAATGGGTAATATACTAGCGCTTCAGGCTACCTATTGGATATATGAGCGGCTGTATGGCGTGGGCACAAGGAGGTTATTGGGTGATTTCTGTTGCTAAATGGCGCCACACTCGTTTATGCTGGAGGACGAAGGCTGAACACCTGTCAGTGGTGTCCTCTACGAACCTGGGAGTGAAATATTCTCCCAGAGCCGAGATTCAGTCACGAAAAAGGGTGGGATGAATTTTAAATGATGGATTTTCGACTTGAAGGAGTTGCACTCGATATTTTGGTCGAAAAATTAGTCGGCAGAGATTTCACAGCCGAAACAAAGTTGAACAAAAACTCATCAACACTAACATACGATTCACGAATGGACTTGGGTGTGTCTGGGGGTCGTATTCAAACATCTGATAGCTCTTAGACTCCTTGTATATTTGCGACGAAGCATTTCTCAATCGATCCTACACCTGCGACCTACCTCCATACCCGTCCGATCACCTACCTACACACGCCCTAATGAGGAAAGTCATGATGGAAACGGGACGTGTTCAAAGGAGGAAGAAGAGGGAAGATACACCGAGGGGATTACACAAATCCCCAATGACGAAAACAACCCAACATTACGATATGAAGGTGCAAGGCTAGAGCAACGATGAGATCTTGGACGGCATTTACATTTCGGAGTCAATGAGGATGTCAAGGGCTCGGGCGCGTGGTGGCCGAGGCTGAGGAGGAAATTGCGCTACGGCGTGTATACAGCGGGTTTCTGAACGGTTAGGCTTGGTATGATTCAGCACATAGGTGAAGTCTGAGGTGGTCCGGTCATTGAAATGGGACGAGGTTTATCTGTACTTCATGGTAGTTAACCTGATCCGGCCCAACCCCACACGTGCTTAAGCTCCAATAGGAGTGCAACGGTAGTCATGTAACCTAGCACGTTAATGAACAAAACCAAACAAAAACAAAACTCGTTCATGCTGTGGCTTTGGCTACGTGTCGCTTATACTTGTACTTGTAGCGCACATCTCCCACATCTCTAGCTATAATCCGAACATGACACTCTTTTAGTCAACTTCCACTTTCGTTCTATAGATATTGCGCCCATTTCTTTGCGCGATATTTCCAACAGAAAAAGCAGCTAGAGCTCTTCTTCTAAAAACCCAAGCTTCAACTCTTCAACTATTGGACTAGACAGACCATAAATGATTAAAAAGGATATTTTGATTCGTTATACTCCTGTGCATCCATAACGGGTAGAGCTTGATATCATGTGGCTGAGGCTGAGTAGGGGACAGTGTGAGATTGAATCAAGCCTGCGATTCCGGTTGGTCGGTAAATTAAGTAGACCTGGTGCTAATGGACTTAAGCGCTTGGCCAGATTAGCCAAGAAAGGTGTTGACATTTGTGACGTCAGGTAGACCACGCTAAGGCGAAAGCCAGCAGCAGACACGTGCCCTGACAACCTGAATCAGGTGTTGGATGGTTTATAGACTAAACCCGCTCTTAATCCAGTAGGTGGCATTAAAAAACATATCTTGATCTATACCAGTGGTTAAGATTTGTGGAATTATTGAAACATGTTCTGTCTGACTCGGTTTCTACCGGGAAACTTAATTAGAACGAGACGTGCCTGCTTAGTAACAGTATTAATGAGAAATCAGAGTGACTTATACTTTGAGATGTACCACTTTGGATTTTTCAATAATTCAATTTTGACATTCTCTTGTTGATCTATCGACTCCGATTCTAAGTCTTCTCGTGTGATATCTCGCAAGACTTGTTGAGTCTTGCCGCGCTTCTCAAATTGGATTACTCTTTGGCAAAGTCCAACATTAATCCTTGGCTGCCTAAGATCTATGTTAAACTTGATATCCTCTATTTCAAGTAGATTTTGAAGTTCCAATTCGTCAGGAGGCTAGGAGTAGCATGTTTATTTGTTTGTTTGTTCATTGAGGTGCTAGGTAAAGTGATACCCATCCCACTCCTGCTGAAGCTTGAGCACGAATGGGGCCGGGTCGGATCAGGCTAATTACCATGAAGTACAATTATGCCTCGTCCCACCTAAATAACCGGGACCATGCTGAAGTGCACCTTTGTGTTGAATCATGACGAGCCAGCAGCCCAGAATAAAATTACAAGAAAGGAAACTTCCACGCGAAGCCCCATATTTCAAATGAAAAACTTTTACAGTCTCGCTTCTATCGTTCTGCCTCAGCCACAACGCACCTGAGTCTCGAATCCAATCCCTTTTTCCATGCCAAATCTCCTAGGCTGTCGATTTAAGACCTCCGAGTCGTAGGTATCCCCGCCATCTTCTCACTAGCCACCGCGTACATTCCGATCTCCTAGACATATTCTATGTACAACCGTCATCCTCTTGGTCTGAGCAGGACTTCCAACGCTGGTGCCCTCCGTCTTCCGCTTTTCAGTCGTCATGTCGCCAATGATTTTCTACACTGGACAAGATGACCGATTGAGTTTTCTCTGCTACACTTACAGTGAAGTGTGGCTGTCGTATGATTGAAGCGGCGGTGGTACGACACGAAGTCATCATGTCCTGTTTGGGCAGCGATCGAGCGGGCATAAACCGCTCTCGGAAGCACTATTTCTGGAAGTTTCTTGCGTCGTATCTCGAGTTCGAGGTTGGCGTAGCGTTCAGGGCAGCTTGAGTGCCACCTATCAGTCAGCATTTGCCTAGCCAGTTCGCGAGCATGACGTTCTGACCGAAGTAGGGGTCATTCTATCATACGTTGTCCTGGCGTTATCTGGCGCGTTGAGCACTCTTCGAGCAAGCCTATCCGCTATCTCGTTTCTTGACAGCCCTGAGTGTCCATTGATCCATCCTACTTTTACGGGTGCAGCTGCTCTTGCGACCATCTCCCAGAACTTTTGAACCCGCCAAGACGATGAGGTAGTTAATCCTATTTATATTTCCTGAACTGCCGCGGAATTTTCGAGCAGAGTGTAGATGACGCTGCGTCTCCGACTTCGTTTCTTGGTAATGATTGCCTTAAGAGCAGCCATAGTCCCATGAACCTATGCGTCGTAGACTACTGCACTAAGTATTTTTACCGAGCCGCTTTGTTCAGCAACTGTTATAGTTCCGCTGACAAAGGTCACAAAAGCATAATTAGTTGTCATTTTGAAGAGGACAACCCTCCGCAAATTGAGATATATTCTTGGCAGGTGAGGATGAGTTAAGTAATGCCGGCATTTTGTTTCCCAAAGGATAGAAAGTCTAAAATGCTGCCTGAGGATAGCATTACTGATCCGACGTTCTCGGTAGTTGAGAAACCCCTGCTCAGAGTAGAAAAAAACTGGTTTTCAGGAATTGCACAGACGAGCGATATTGAGCCACGGACACAAAGGCAGGATATATCTCGTGACCATGGGTTCAAGATGCAAGAAGGCGACGGAAAAAAGCCCAGAGGTGAAGCATTCTGTATGGAATTCCGAAAATCTAGGGCTGCGAATGGGAAACGATCTACTCGCTGGGCTCTCTGCTGCTACTACCGTGGCACCGCTCGTTACAGTCATTGACAAGTAAGTCGGCCCCCTAAGAAACCATGCCAAATAAAATGATGTTACCTTGCATTCTGCCAAACTTCTACAACGCTCATATTGCCTTCTTTTCTAGGGCCATCATGCAGAATGCATCAGGGCAGGCACCGCTTCTTCGATCTCTCGCCCTCTCTTTTACAACACTGCTCCGCCGCCCGCATCATATCATTTTCTCTAAGCCCTTCTTCCTTGTTACTCTCTTGTATGGCGGCACCTACCTAACTGCCAATACGATCGACACGCTCAGTTCCTTGACGCAAAATAAGCCTGCTTCACACGTAACCAGCGGACCTTCCAAATTCATAGCTTCCTCTACCACAAATATTGGTATTTGTCTAATTAAAGATGCCTCTTTTGCACAGCTTTTCGGACCATCGGGACCCCCACGCACCGTGCCACTTCCCTCATTCGCCCTGTTCACCCTGCGTGACTGTCTCACAATATTTGCTTCCTTTAATGCTCCGCCCCTACTCGGCCCTATCATCTCTAGTCATCTGAGCTGCGAGCTCCAGCAACGTGTAAACGGACAAACCGTTGCTCAATTTGTGGCACCCGCTGCTATACAACTCCTCAGCACTCCGATGCACCTTCTCGGTCTCAATTTATACAACCGCCAAGAACCTTCAGTCACTTTTGCCGAACGATGGGCCATTGTGAGGCAAAGTTGGGCCATCAGCACCGTAGCACGTATCTGTAGAATCGTGCCAGCGTATGGTGTGGGTGGTGTTGTGAATGCTAATGTACGTCGAAAACTCATGGAGCGACTTTCATGAACAAGCTGTTATTACGAATTTCCCTCAACTCATTTGACACCCTTCCTGAGCCCAATAAGGCGAATGAATAATCTACTACGCTGGATATTTGAAGCAAGTCCTAAATGCGAAGCTCTATAACAAAGTAATTTTCACACTCTACTGCTGTCGTCAAGCAATTATTCTGGATCACTTTTCAAGGTATTCGGGAGAATTTGTGCATTCAAAATTTTCCGATAATCTCAGTAAATCTCTATTAGGGGGAAGCCAATCACCTAAATCAAGTCAACATACTTATCAACTAGAAAGTGGTCCACAATCCAACTTTCAATACACTCAGTTCATGTTTCCCGGTCTACTAATTCCGAATAAAATGTTAAAGTTCATCTTTTAATGCTGAAGCCATCAATGTACATCATACTTCTCAGTCCACCTGATTAGACTGTTCTATCAACGCCAATTTATGAAATGCTCCATCACCCACATTGTATCTCTCCAAGATCGAATAAAATTAAAGCAGGTGTAATTCGACTCGCCCTTGCTACGATTTTAGATTGTTGGCCCATAGAATAATTTTCGTCGGACTTGAAGAAGCGGATATTTCTAAGCTTTGTATAATACTACCATAGACTAGCCAGCACATATATACGGGCCTCATATACGTGTCTCCACTGGTTAAGCTTCAGTTGACATCATTTCAGTAATCTGGCCTAACTTACATTGCATGAAACATCAGATTATAGTAGTCCTAGAAGATTAGTTCTGGAAAGTGCCCCGATATTCAGAAGTTGAGTTTCCATCTTGAACTCTTTGTAACCATTTCAATCAGCCCTAGACATACTCCGGCTCTATCGTGTCTGATTTCTAATTTCTACTGCTCCTACAATGCGGACGCTCGGTTGGACTAAGAGAACTAAAAGTCAATAACTTTTATATTTTTCTCCGATAGAAATAACTCAGTTACTGAACAATTTGACTGCGCACATATCAGACCGTTTCAATAAGCTTAAAGACAGGCTTGAAATTCAGATCATGTTCAACTGAAATATGATTTAAATTCTTTGCAACTTTCAATAGAATGCGAGACTGAAAAAGTTTATCCGAAATAGGGCCTAACGACCCTTTTCGCATCTATTATTCTTCGAGCAGGTTAAAGCAAGGATCAAAGTTAAGAACACACGTAGTATGCCCACTTAACATCGACGCATCTAGAGCACTCTATGAGAGCTTACTTCGCCTTGACTAGTTTTATAAGGAGTTTAAGCCGATAGAATTTAACCAGCCACTAAGACCTAGCTATGATAAGTGTGTGAGCAAGAGATTGTGGCCTATTGTGCTACTCTTCTCCCACTGCAAAAGTTTCAAAAGGCTTGCTTCAAAAACATAATACGTACTGCTGTTTGAAAAGCGTTAGTGCCGCGGCACCATCTTGGAGCGTTTCATGACAGACCAGCGAACGAACTAATGATTTGCTTTATGCAAATTTTAGACCTCAAGGTGAATAAGTAGCGAGGAATTAATATTAGTAATGTTAGATTCCTGAAAGACCTTTCAATTAGTATTTAATGCAGGGCAATAGGAATAGTTGAGGAAGTAAGCTGTCCTAAGTCAGATGCCGAGCGGCTTTGACATTAGCTTTATAGGCGCTCTGTATGCGGACGATAATAAGATGTATTAACGGAACCAATGATCCTATAAATAGGGCTATCACAAGAGGTGATATCGTCCCCAATCCTATTTCCACTCTACACAATAGAGGCTATAGTAAGCAGTACCTAGATTTTCTTTTACGCGGACTTGGGAATTCGAATATATGCCTAGTATTTCTACCAAGAAGCAGCCGTAGATGTCCAACGATATATCGATGTAGTCCTTTGATGGGGTAGTGAGAATTAACCTTCAACCTGGGCGAAGTTGAAGTGATATACTTTCTAGGACCCCAGGCTTGAAGGTATTAACTGCCAGCAGTATGGGCAGGCACTCATGAGCTACAAACGTTCGAAAAAATCCAATAGCTCGAAGAATATCTAGACCACGGTCTCACATTTGTAAGCTATGCCATCAAATAGGGGAGAAAATAAATGAAGTACAAGCATCATTCTCTGAGACTTAACCAATGTATCGATGGTCCCAGGCCGTAATTACTAATCAAACTTTTTCACAAAGTAGCCATACCAACTATAAGCTAGGAGTACTAGGGCTAAAAAACTGTCCACAGTGTCCTACACTAACCTGGGGGTAGAATAACCCCCCAAAGCCAAGTTTCAACCTTGAAAAAGGGCAATATTTAGAGCTCTCCTTGAATTGGCTCGTTTTCGGTCAAAAATCCGACCCACTGAGTTTTCACAGCTGCAAAGCCCATAAAAAACAAAAATCTCCACTTCAGACACGAACCGCAGACACTCTCAAACCTATCTGGTGTTCCTAATACAAAAACTGGTACCCTAAAAATCTTAATTTTTCCTCGAAGATCATTCCCAGTCATGCTCATCTCACAAAACTCTCTACAACCATCTCACCACCTACCGAAGGAGTCCTATAAATTAAAAGATGATAGTCGCTGTCAAAAAAACTGGAGGGCTTCCAACTATTCGAAACTTCCCCTCTGTGAGGGTACAGTCGGAGTACCGGCTCTACATGCGTCCTCACATCTGCCAAGGGCACCACTAACCTGATCTGTGAGGAGATACTACCGACCAGTTAGATACGATATTTCGTCGTCACACTAACGATGGTATTCGATAAAGTTTTGAGAATCAGCGTCGCGGCCTTTGACTTTCTGTAGCATCATCAGACCCCGCGGTTAAGGGTACGGCAGTGACGGCGCAAGGCCGGAGGGGTGGACATTCTACAAAGTTTCTGAGATGACGAGATCGGCTGAAGGATAGATGGATGCTACATGGAGGAACAACAAAAAAGGAAATACAAACTAAGGAGGCCTTGGAGGGCGACTGGATGAGGCCTATAATGAAGATAAGGACCCCTGGATGAGATCAGGAGATGCTAAGATGAGACAAAGCTGAGACTGAATGGAAGGGAAAAGTTACAAATCGCGAAGCTCTCAAGGGCTCGGGCACGTGGTAGCCGAGGCTGAGGAGAAATTTGCGCTTCGGCGCGTCAGAAGAGAGTTCTCTGGACGGTTAATGGTAGTTAACCTTATCCAGCCCTGCCCAACTCGTGCTCAAGCTCCAGTAGGAGTGCGACGGGAATCACTTTACCTAGCACGATAATGAACAAACAAACAATATCTATCTACTTCCAAGCAAAAGGAGAGCGTAGTTATGAAAAAAGTCATAAGCTATAAGTCTATCAGTTCACATGAAGTTATGAGGGGAATCTTGTAAAAAATTCGCACTATCGACCAGAAGAAATGGGTTTTCGTGGTCTACTCGCGTACTACTATCTTGATACTATAGAATTGTTATCTACCTTACATTCAGATAAAGCAATATTCGAATGTCAAAATCCACAGATCAAAAGAATAAGTCGACGCAATGCAAGATCCACCATCTCCATGTAACCCCAGCTAGATAAATTATTTTGACTCAGAGATAGTGTCTATCGGACCGACCGTAAGTCGACCAGTGCTTTAGGGGTCATCGGCTAGGGCATGAAAATAACCAAGGAATTTCCAATAAGTTTGCTCAATCCTTAACGCTCAGAGTATTTCTGGTTGATAGCCATGAGAGAATAAAAAGTTTCTCGTCGTACCTATTAGAATTACTGCGGGGTGGCTTCACCATTGGCCGTATTAATTCAGTAAAGAGTAGTACGATTCTGTGTTGGTGTAAAATTCTTCATTTCTTATAAGTCTTTTTCATAACTATGCAGAATTCACAGCTATATTGTGGATCCTGGCTAGCGCATACTTGATAAATCTACTTTTTCGATCTAGATGAGCCGACAGTACCCTTTTATTCTATGCATCTCGGATTAACACTAGTATGAGGTCTTGAGTGTTAACTGATATGGCTTATAGGATGAAGAAAGATCACGGGATACTGGCCGGTAAGTTTCGATTATCTGAATTGAAGTTTGGCATAGCTTCTTGGATCTAGGTCTATGAGGTAGAGTGGGAGTGTGAGAATATTTCAGGGAGACATGCAGTCAAGCGAGAGGTAGAGGACAGATTCTTTTTCCCGGAAAAATAAGGCTAGTGATTACTCTTCATGGAGGGCAGGACTGAGCGCCCTTGCGCGGTGTTCTCTACGAACCTGGGTATGAAATATTCTCATAGAACCAAGTTCAGTCAAATTTCGCAATATCAAAGTTGACCCCAAAAGGCAATCATTCAAAATACGCCATGTCAATCTTTCACTCCCAACAAAATCGATTCCCATCTAAGCCTCATCAAGTCTACAGCTACGAGCCAGTACATCCTCATTCCAATGACCACACCTCTCGTCGACTTTCTCTGGCCTCAGCCGGTCACCAAATACACGCCCACGCCGGTATTTACACCCGACGGAGGAAGCAAAGCGTAGAGCACAAATCTGGGAGACAGTTCTTTGGGATGGGCGCGAGAGGATTGAGGATAAGTTCACAAGATGATGTGAAGGATGGATACAGTCTTAACGGGCGTGGAATTTTGAGATTTGGCAAGGAGTTTTTACAAATTGAGCTTTGTGCGTGCCAAGACCTCGTTTGTGAGAGTGCAAGCGACACTATAAACACCGCCATGGTTGGATGGTGCGGTGGTACATCGTCTTGGCCTGTCTGCCAAGTAGAGTCTGGATAGCTTGGACACATATCCCACTTGAGACAGTAGATGGCTGGTTCGAATCCGGCAAAACACAACTACATTTCTCGCGGCGCTTGTATGCATGGATGACGAAGGCATGCTTGGATAACCAAAGGTTTCGAAATTCCCTTTGGTGGGTACTTACGGAGGAGGGTCGACTGTTTGTGTAAGCAAGCATGCCTCATAGTGGTATTTGCGAATGAAATCTAGAGAATGAGTGTCTCTAACGCCAAAAGAGTCGTCCTACATGTATACATAGCGCCGGTCATGTATCATAGCTAGATAGCTGAATACACATTAAATGATTCAAAAAAAAAAAGTTGCCACGAATAAGTGGTCACTATCGCAATAGTGTCTTGAATACGAGTTACTGAGACAAGTTTAATTAAAGTTTTATGGATTAAAAGAATCTAGTATTTTTAAAATAGAAATTTGTATAATTGTTACGATAGGACCTCCTTGCCAACCAGAATCTCTGAGGAAATTTATGAGTAGATATTAATTCCTTTCTTACGAGATAAAATAGTAGTAAACTCGTTTTTTACTCCAAGTGTAGATTAAATGTGTAACGCTATTAATATTGCAAGAACTTATACGTCTGAATGAAAAAGCCCAGGATGGAATATAATAAAGTCGTGGGACATAATAGATAAGTAGAAGAATATAACTTTCCTGAAACTTTGTTATTCTTGCTCAAAATAGATGATAAATCCTCTGTATTTGGCTTTTAGATCATGATATCGATAGCCTTTTAAGTTTAAGGTTTCCCAATAATGACTTTGTATCACTACATCCCACTATTTGGCTATTGGAGGGCCGCATGACTAAACAAATTTACTCACTTTCACCACGTATATTAGTTGTGTTCGTCTCAATACATCGGTTGTCTATAGTGAAAGGGCCAGTTTTTTCTAGACTAGAGTCAACTGGTACCTGGACTTTCGTATCTAGACTGTTTACATCAACATTTTTTGTGCTCAGCACTAAGGTATCTAAAGGATCTAATTTAATTGAGTATTGATCTTTGTCTTGAGTTGATGGCTTGACATAATCTTGCAAGGGTGGATCAAGCATATTTTCACAGGGAATAACCGGAAACTCATTTGGGGTTTCTCGATTGTCAGTATTGACACTCTTGATAGGTTTTTCAATCTTGTATCCATGGATAAAATGTATGTCTGTAGGGTTCATGGCAAAAGTATCATAGACAATGGATTTGTGCTCCGATGAAGATAATGAACTATTTCTATTAAAATCTCCAACATATTTCTCAGAAGAATCATGAGATAGTGAATATTGGGACAAATCCGGTGAAATTAATGACGGGCCCGCATTTTTTACTACAACATCTTGACCGAAATTCTGTGTTATTACAGTCTCAGCTTCAGTTCGCATTGATGATACCTCAGTTGAAATAATGGAAGAGCTTTCCGTCACGCCAAGTTGATTAAGATTTGAAATTAAGTTTGCGTCTAATGAAGGTTTAGCTTTTGTCATAGGAACACTATCCATACACCTAATTGGATTCTTCTGGCCACTATTTTTTTCGCGCGCAGCACGCTGTGACTTTGTGACGAGTGAAATTTTAATCTTGCTCATGCTTGATGTGAGTTTATCGACATCATCAGATATAGAAGTGGATTCAAGTTTTAGGGGCTGGTCGCTACCAGGTGATGATTTTCTGGCTATTTTAGGACTTAAATTTGAATTTACCAGGTCAGGAAGCTCCACGAAAGAGGGTGAGTTCTTTTGCATTCGTTTTTTACCAGCCTTTACGTCTTCGATATCTAGACATATTTTTCTAGGGTTTCGGTTTCTTCTGGCTGGAACTGAAGTTTGTGATGTTAGATCAGATCCTGACAAAGAATTTGCAACAGAAGGAATAGTCTGTCGGTTTATTTTGAAGTTTTCAGTTTCAAAAGTAGGAGTGGGTCCATTTTTCTTGGAATGGGTGCTATCAGAGCTTTGATTGGGCATAAGCCTTGGACGTCGGGGCTGAGGGACGTAGTTAGTATTCTTAGAGTCACGTGACATTGTTACATTTTTATTATTGGCCTAATTTAATTAGTGAAAGTTATCATTCCAAAGTCTAGATTTGTTACCTTTATAGAAATATTTTCTGTCACAGCAACAGTTTTTCGACGGGTTAATCTGCTAGCAGTATTTTTAGCCGGAGAGTTTCCGAGAGGCTCAACCGACTTAGTTGGCTTGCGAGCTCTTAGGGCCATGCGCCCTGGTATTTCAGTGACCGTTTGAGTATCCTTTAACCTTTGAATAGTCTGAAAATCTTTGCTTACACGTGGTTTTTTCGGTGATAGCTCTTCGGGATTGTAGCTAAGAGTTTGTCTTCCAGTTGGAACGAGTAACTTTGAAAGCTCATGAGCGGCATGGGCCCAGCCAACTTCTTGATATAAAGGAGCTGTCTTTGAGGTTGGCTTTGCCGACCGGATTCCAAAGTTTGACATTTCTGAAATAGTTCGCAGTGCAGCAGGCGAAGTAACTTTCGACATGAAAGATTGAGTAGGAGATGAGAATGTTGAGTTAGAAGCTTTTTGTTTGTTTGGTTCGCTGGCCGTAGCATTTTTTAAATTTTCAAATTCCTGGATACAGGGCAGAGACCACCAGGCTGAGTCGTAAATTTGCTTTTGGGAGTCTTCATTACTTTCAGGGGGTTGATCTTCGCAAATTGTATTAAAACTATCGGTTTGTTGCAAGGTATTATCGAATTTTTTATTTTTGTTCGCCACAGATGAGTCTATATTTGTCAATCCGCTAAGATGACTGAAGACGCCAGTTAAAAGGGCTCTGTCGCTGTATCCGCCCTCAAGAACACTTATAACCCTCCCGTCTACAGCTGTATCGTCTTCCTCTGCAATCTTTACCACATCGCGGGTCAATCGTGCGTAGAATTCCGTCGGAACATTAACTTTATGACGTTGCATACCTGAGCTCTCCCATTCGCTTGCATCAAATCCAGCAGATAAAAATATGGCCCCGCGAGGTTTTGGTCCACTAGTGTTAGCTTTGAGCCGTTCAGTTTGAGCGCGCATGTATTCCCTTGCTTTATCCAGTATAACAGAATACTTACTTTCATACAACTCCCAGAACTCTAGTTCATTCTTCCAAGGTTGGAGATGGACGTTCCAGATATTCTGTCCATGAGCGTTAGAAATACAGATACATGCGTTTTTGACTTTTTCTTCGTCGCCCATCTCACAAGGATATGAGTTGATATCATGAAGACTAAAATATCCGATTGATGTCTTTTTCGATATTGGGGCATTCTTGGTAGCGCTGAGGGCACGGTTATTATTCTCCCACGCAATAGCTTGAGAGCCATCTCCATGGTGTAGGTCAAAATCAATGATAGCTGCATGCGTCAAACCATGCGTGAGTGCGGCATACGATATTCCGACATGGACGTTGTTTACCCAGCAGAATCCCGACGGATAGTTTGTAGAACAGTGGTGGCCTGGCGGCCGTATAGCTACAAACGATCGACGAGGCCCATTACATTCTGTCGTCTTTCGGAATACTGAATCGACCCCTTCACAAACGGCACCAATTGCACCTTCCATTGCGTTTAGCGACTCAGAGCAGAGATATAAGTCACCTTCATGAAGCCTAGTTGATGAGCTTTGATCCGCTCCTCGGCCTATTTCTGGACGAGCCACCTCATTTCTATTCAATGCTAATTTTGATTCGGCGCTCTGACACATTAACTTGAGTTCTTCCATCCACTTTTCTCCGTGTACTTTTGTAACGGCTGGAGAAGATAATTCCAATTTCCTTGTTGTCTTCCGTATCTGAAAAGGTGAAGTAAATGTCATCATTGAATCTTTTTCTGAATTCAATGTGTATTTACCATCTTTGTGCCGCCCGCTTAATCTTACATACGCCGCAGATATACCCAGGATACTGGCATGTATACGCTCTGGTCTTTCAAAAATCGTGTTGAGTGAGGCTTTCGAAGTGTGTGGTCTTGAGAAGCGATGTCCATAGCAAGAGTCATGAAGTATTACAACGGTATCTGTATACGAATTTCCCTCATCCTGCGCTCTGTGTGCATCAAGCTCTGACATAAAATGGTTCATTAGGCTAGATGAGGAAGTTAGGTGAGGGCTGGATGGAGTCGAATCTTCTGGTATTACTGTTTTTCCAACAGGGTTTGCGTTTCCGATTGACGATGTAGATGACGTACGTTTTGCTGTAAGTAGTTTGCTAGATGAACTACGACGCGATGGAGTGTAGGAAGTCCGTCCTGGCGATGATGGTGAGGATAAGCATGATTTCTGGCTTGCAGGACTAGGTGGTAGATTGAGGGGACTTTTCGACCGAAAGGTACTGTTAGATGTGGGACTGGTGACAAAACTTGAATTCCGCCTTGACAATTGACTTCCAGGCACATAAAGGAGGTTATTACTTTGCCCAATATTGATACGAAGATTGTCGAATGACTGCGTAAGAGCGTCATAGTTTTCAGAACATGCAGATTTTTCTTGTTCTTTGTCGCGAATTAACAAAGACTTTCGCCGGGTGAAAGAGGATGAAGACATAGTTGCGTATTTCACCCTAGATCATATGCGCACTCGAGTTGTAAACCTGTTGGAATTTCAACAAGAGCCTTCTTCCTCTCGAAGATGAGAGTAACCAGCGCGTATTGACTGATTCGCGAGCCCCTGTCATTATTAGGAATGTAGTTTCGAGGTCTGAATCATGAAAATACCCTTTGTTCACTTGTGCAGGCCTGGATTATCACTTTGCTGACATTCTCAAACTACTCAGCCTGGCAACTGGAAATGCATGAGAAACATCTAACAGATTAAAATCTCGATAACCTAGATTTAGAAATTAAAATCAGTAAGGCTTAATGAACCACTTGCACTTCATTGTTCTTCTGATTAACTAGCATCCACACCCCTAACATTCAGAATGGCATGCCCATGTCACGGGATAAAAAGTAATTAATGCGGACCTGGCTGCCAGCTAATCGCAATCCACATCTAAGAAAAAAACCAGGGCTTACACGATTATCATCAGGCTAACCTCCTACTCGAAATACTAGTGCTTAGCTTCATTTCTGCGATCTCTTACAATAGAGTACATCATAGTTGCACTGCTGTCCCCCCAATATTTCGTCAATAGTGCATGGGCAAAGGGATGCTGCCTTAAAATCAGGCCGTGTTCCAGATTGTTGATGTATTTCATGATGCTTATTAAAACAAGTAGTGATGGGTCAACAGAGGAATCATGTATGACTGAATAGAACATTATCCTGAAAGCAGCTTTTACAGTCGACTCACCCCGAAAAATCATTACGGCTACCCTTAGCGTAATAGATCACTGAGCTGCTTTGATATTGATCTCCCACTTGCGATCATCAAAAATCTACTTGAGCAACAGAGTCGTATTATTTTCGCCAAAAATTCACAAGATTTTCCCATGGTCTTATTAATTTGCCCTTATTAATCTAATCTACAATCCCCTTGGATGTCAGCTTGTGTTTGAGATCAACCGTATTGCAGAAAATGAATAAATCTACGACACAATCAAGTTCCACCATGCCCTAGATGAGAATTGACAATTACTACAACAAATAACCAGGGTTGGAAATTCCGGCGAGATACCTTAAGGATTCAGATAACACGACTGAATAATTTCTTCGAATTTTCGGAACGTAGGCCTAACTCAGTGCGCTACGAGTACATGACCGGCACAGTCGAGGAGAAATAGTCCAGTCACAAACCTAAGCTCTCGTACCACTCGGAGGATAAAGAGTCTACATCTATGCGCAGTGTCATATACGAATGTTGAAGCGAAATATTAACGCGAAGCCAATCCCAGTCAAGTTTCGCATTACTACAGAAGTTAGCCTCATGGAATAAAGACTGGAATCTAGAGCTCTGGCATGAGGAGGAGGACCGGAAAGCAAAAGGTCTGGGCACATACTACTGGATCCAGGCTCAGACCAACAAACCCAGTCTTTCTTCTAACTATTCAAATCTCCAGTCCACAGCAAAAAGACAGAGTCGGGATTTTCCAGACAAGGTTCTGGATTGGAAATAAACGTATCTATCTTCACATTATTGGGAAGGTTCAAGACAGTGTGTGTAGCTTTTGTGGAAGAGTAAGGCAGAATGTGTAACACCTGTTGTTAAACATTCCCAAATTCAGAAATCAAGGGAACAGACGTTTTCAGGGCATAGAGCCAAGAACACTTCCTAGATTATTTCGAAAAATGAGACGAAAGAAAGCTCTTCCAAAATATTTGGACACATCCGAGCGCATGGTAGCACAAAAAGGATATTAGAATAGGATACTTCAATGGGAAATTAATAAGGAATTTTGAAGATAAGATTTCAGTAAAGAGTTCTGGGGATAAAATTTATGTAAATAATTTTTCATAGCTAGAGAATTGAATACACATTAAATGAATAAAAAGAAAGTCTCTAATTGCTTCTAAAGCTCTGACAAACTCTAACCAAGTTTTTTTTCTTACAAACAACCTCTTGCTACCTCAAAAATCGGTATTGTAACTAACTATTTGGTTCTAATTCATAAAAGTGATACTTAATACGGAAAAATCCACTTTTTTTCGGGCCCCGAGATCAAAGTAACCTGGTGTCAAAGGGGGTTTTCTTAGGCTAACTCTATTCTTCTAATGTTAAGGCGGGAAAGAAACTAACAGCGACTAATTATGATCGTTTAATCTATCATATATGCAGGTCGTAGCCTGAGAGTTTTCCAAAATAATGGGCCGTGGGCAGCTGTGAGTTTTTATCTTGCTCTTCAGACCGAGATTACTTCACGTAACGGTCAATAGGGAAAAGTCAGTTCAAAAGGCCTCCGTTGATGCAACTTCATGGCTTGGTCTTCATGTTATGCCGGAGCTATTATTGTTGAGTGGCTCGGAAAGTTGTTTAAATTTGTTAGGATATAATTCCTCTGGACGGATAATACAGTAGTACTGTTACAGGATTACTTGGAAGTAGATTTGATAAAGTATGGGGTTGAATCGTTGCGTGTATCTTCGTCTCTACGTCTACGCACTTAATAGAAGTACCGCGACCTCGCACCCACTAATGTATGGCTCCTAGTCTCATCCGCACGCTAACATGAAACTACCAATACAGGGTAAATAGAATCAGCAGACGCCTTACCCTTTTTAACTCCTGGGCAACCAATAACCACGGAGGGCAAGACTGAGCACCTGTACGCGGTGTCCTCTACGAACCTTGGAGTGAAATATTCTCCCAGAGCCAAGTTCAGTCAAACTTCGCAATACCGAACAAGTTGGCCCACGAGGCAATGATTCAAATTACTCCACCATATTAAACTTTCACTCCCAACGAAATCGATTCCTACCTAAACCTCATCAAGTTTACAAGTACGACCTAGTACATCCTAATCCCAATGACCACACCTCTTGTCGACTTTCTCTGGCCTTAGCTGGTCGCCAGATACACGCCCACGCTGATATTTACACCCGACGGAGGAAGCAAAGCGTGGCGCACAAATCTGGAAGACAATTCCTTGGGATGGATGTGAGAGGGATCAGGACAAGTTAATAAGATGATGCAGAGGATTGGATACAGTCTCGACGGGCGTAGAATTTTGAATTTTGGAAAGGAGTTTTTACAAATTGAGCTTTGTGCGTGCCAAGTCTTCGGCTACGAGAGTGCAGGTGACACTATAAAAACTGCCATGGTTGGATGGTGCGGTGGTACATCGTCTTGGCCGGTCTGCCAAGTAGAGTCTGGATAGCTTGGACACATATCCCACTTGAGACAGTAGATGGCTGGTTCGAATCCGGCAAAACACAACCACATTTCTCGCGGCGCTTGTATGCATGGATGACGAAGGCATGCTTGGATAACCAAAGGTTTCGAAATTCCCTTTGGTGGGTACTTACGGAGGAGGGTCGACTGTTTGTGTAAGCAAGCATGCCTCATAGTGGTATTTGCGAATGAAATCTAGAGAATGAGTGTCTCTAACGCCAAAAGAGTCGTCCTACATGTATACATAGCGCCGGTCATGTATCATAGCTAGATAGCTGAATACACATCAAATGATTTAAAAAAAAAACCAATAACCACAACCTTAACTCCATTATGTTAAATTATAGGGATGAATATGTTTGACCAACCCTTCTTACAATTTAACAAAATTTATAAAGTTCCTTGGGGACGCCTTTGTAGGTCTGGTATTGTGAAAGAACTGGCAACTTAATTACTTAACGCCCAATTTCGCACGCCCCGAGTGTGTGAGAGAGAAGAATAGAGAGATTAAGTAGCCATTATTCTGGGTTAGGGGAGCTTAGCTACACAAATACTGTGATAGTGGTTTTAGCCATCATAGGTTCTACATTCAATAATTCTTGTCGCAAGGATTAGTCCTATATTTAATCAGTATGAAATTCATAGACAGAGCCATGCAAAATTATGTCTTTTGTTTATTGTACCATTTGAGTCATAGAATATCTAGCAAATAGGTGTCATTTCTGACCCAGATCACATATGATACAGTGCTCCTGTCCTCTTTTGTTACTTCAGAGATCTTTGACATATTGCCCGTGATGAGTAGCCATTAAGCTTAGTATTTATCCGCTGGATTCAGCCACATTTTCCACGAGACCTTCATCCAAAAAAATTGTTGAAATGGAAACAGTGTGCGCGGGAAATGAGTCTAAATAAACCCCCAGGCCTAGGCACTGGGACCATATGAGGTGCACATATCTATCTAAATCTTCTTTTTTTTTTTTAAATTAGAGGCCAATTTGATCCAACCCACCATCACTGTATCAGGTGCTGGATACGCTCCGGAAACTCATCGGATGGCTTTTCCTTCATGATCACGGGTTGGCGATGAGAAGAGCTTCGACCCCAATATCTGATCTGACGGTGGTTGGTTTCATAATAATGGTGATAGGGGATATGTTGAGAGACAAAGACGATACAGACGACGAGAGCGATTGGGAGTCATTATCGAATTGAGGAGGGTGTCACTCAATCTCGACTCTGCAGACTCTATAGTCAGGGCTGGAGGTTCGTAGGATACATCAGTGACAGGTATTGAGAATATTTTCCCTTCGCAGAGCTATGATTGAGCAGTATCTTTTCAACTTTGAGCTGAGTTATCTCGTCCTCTCTCAAAGATATGCTTCCAATAACTCCTATGACGATAGAGAAGACAATTATGACGCTGAAAAGAAGGAAGATATTGAGATACCTAAGGTGAAAACGGTTGTCAGAAAAGCCCTCGTTATATTTTAACATATGCTAGTTACCGGCAGGCAAACAAAAGCCTACGTAAGCAAAGTTAAAGACCCTTCCGTACTCAAGGAAAACATATTTCGACTCGTTAATAATATTGTCACTCCTGATATTTAATGCCGAATCTACTAGCCAGAAGGGCTTCTGAAATACTCAAGTTACTCGACAACCCCACATCCATAATAACTTCTGGATTCTGAGCTAGGCTACTTCGCGGCAGTCACTCTCGACCAAGACTTTTTTGGTTCCTTTTTAACGGCCTTCGGTTTTTCTAGAGTCATGAATCAGGAGAAGAATATAAAGGAGGCTAAGAAGTTTAAGAGGCGCTTTCAGGCACATTTAGTTTATCTGCACCCGACTGGTGGGCCTCTTCGAACGATTTAAAAGGGAAGCTATTTCTTCGGATTTATTATTGATTTCGGTATGAGGAAAGTCTCGTACTCAGTGGTTTTTGATACCTTTCCCTGTAGCCACATATCCGTAAACGGCAATCGATGGTTTTGAATTAGAGTGGAGATAATGATGGAAGGACGGATCCTTTTACTGTGTACAAAAATGTCTCTTAAGGGTATCACTGCTGGATATAAGTCGTGAAGGATATATAAATACTTCCGCCTGTAGGCAGAAAAAATCCACATGTCTTGATACAGTCATAGACTTTTTGTGAATAAAAGCATGCAAGCTGGGAAAAGCTCAAAATGTGTGATCCACATCCGGACAGTCTTTAATGCCACCCCAACTATTGAAGGTTCCTTGGAAAAGGTGGCTGAACTCCGCGGGTAAATACGGAGCTGAATAGCTATTCAGCGCGGGCGATATATCCATGATCTTCCAAGGAACGCGAGAGGCAAGGAGCACTGTACAAGGCGTGGCCTAGGTCAGAGAGGAGCCCGATGTGCAAGATAGTCTATGAGTCAAGTGGAACAATTACACATTGCAAATGCACCCTGGAAAATTGAAGAGTATCGATTTATCCAAGTGACGCTTATGTAATCAATTAGACGTTGACCTAGGGCCTCAATGTTCTAGCCTTGGGTAAGGGGAAGAAGATATTAAGACCATACAACATTCATTGATTCAAATGAACTGTCAAATTCCAAAATTTTCAGCGACACAGGCCTACCGAATAATCTAAGATGTCTGACAAGAATTTATATACAACCGAAGAAGGAAAGAAAGACCTGCGAAAAGACTCAAAATCTGTGCATTCCTTTGTCAAAAAGGAACCACCTCCTGAAAAGCTTGAGAGTATTAAAACTCGTAGCACCATCATTCTCTCCTTTTGGATAATTATATTAGCAGTTGGTATTCCAATATGGTGGGTGACAACTGCCATATATCGAGCGAGTCTTCCGTTGGACCAAATGATGGACTGGGCAAATGGGAGAGTACTTGACCCCCGAGAATTTAGTGGTTGGTTTACTTTAAATTTAACTCAAAGCTGACAAATTTAGGCTTGCCGACCGGTCTTTCCGCTGCGTATATTGATAGAAGCCGACTCTTTAAGTGAACTTGAAGCACAAAATCTTCTACGAGCTACTCAGCATGCGCTAGATGATCTCAATGATTTCTCGGCCCACCATTTACGTCTACAGTTATCTCCAAGTGCCAAGATTACGTCAGATGAACTACCAATTAACATAAGTGGAGATGTAGCCTTACTTATCCGACTCATCCCAGATGTAGAGACGAGTGCACGATTACATCAACATTCTCCTATACTTAGTATACATTACGCGCTTAATAAGGCCCCTTCCAGTCCGTCTTCATCTGGCCCACTGGCAACATATATAACTCATTATTTGCGTGCCCTATTTGCCGAGGAGCGCAGCATGATTTCTCACCTATTGTCAAACTCGTCATCGGACCACCTAGTTGATAACGTTCTCAAGGACTCACTTCAGAAATGGACTTCGCGCACCATTAAGTATTCGCCTTCATATCACTTAACGTTTTCTCTTTTCACTCCATCATCCGAACCTAGGACATGGCCGATTTCCAACGCTCTTGACACTCACATGAAACCGTTGCTCAACTTACTACATCCAACCTCCAATTTTACAATCGATACTCAAATTCAATTTTACGCAACACCAGGTGTGACTGGGAAAGTTTTGCGACAAGAAGATCTGTCGCATTTTGTGAACGCTGCTGAGTGGCCTCTATCTCCTAGCATAGGTATAGCGCCAACTGTTAACTTTATAGTTTATGCCGGTGATATAGAAATAGAAGGAGGAGCGAAAAGTTGGCTTATTCCTCAGTGGGGTGGGGTGACTATTCTTTCACCTTCTGAGGTGGATGATCTACGACCGGTCATGTTGATTTTCGCGAAGCAACTCACGTCTCTGCTTGGAGCACCGGAAACAGGAAATCTTCCGTTGCGTCTCCAAACGCTCTCTCGAGTTCGCTCTGCCTCTCTTCTGTTAAAAGCTAGTAGTACGCTAGGTAGCCTTGCGCGTCTATCACTTGCGCTTCCAGGTATTTCAATCCCCCGCTCGGTCTCGGACGGTGTCTCAAAAACTATCACCAACCTCGAGCTCGCATGTGCAGGACTTGCAGGACCAGCTGGGTTAGAATATGCGCGACAAGCCGAGCAAGAAGCCGAAAAGGCATTTTTCGAGAAAAGTATGGTTGGTCAGGTTTATTTTCCTGATGAACATAAAGTAGCAGTTTATTTGCCCCTGCTGGGACCAGTAGGTGTACCACTAGTTATTGGGGCAATAAAAGAGGTAAAGGCATGGATAAAACGAAGGGAAAAAGCTCACTAGGATGAAACGACTTAAGCAAACTGGTAAATTTTACACCATGTAGTACTCAGGGCGCTCTCTCTACCTCTCCAGGTATAGGATCGACGGTGAAAAATACGACAGAGACCACTTTCTTTCTTGGAAGTAGAGTCAATAATTGTCATCTTCGAGGAAGACATTACAAACTCAAAGACCAACTCAGATACTAATAAGTAGGCCGTTGAGGCTATTTGCTTCCTTTTGTACAAAAGCGTGCTATAAACTTGGCGCATTTGGCTGTCCATTATTGTTTAAGATGATCAGCGCCGGTCTGTAGTGGACTAGCCAGCTCGGAGTATAGCAAAGTCTCGTCCTACCCAGGAAAGACTAGACCTCCTATTTCCTCATGTATTGAACTATACATTTTTTTGAATCATTAATCTGTATTGAGCCATCTAATTATGACACATGATCAGTACTACGTTCACATTTTGGATAGTTTGACATGAGAGACACTTGTACTCTGAATTTCATATGAAAATACTACTTTGAGGTAAGCTTGCTTACACGAACAGTCGATACTTCTCCATGACTTCCCACCAACAGGAAGTTTCAAAACCATCAAATATCCACATATGTTGTCATGCTGTACACTAGAGTTACATAAGATGACGTTATATATTGTCAGATTCGAATAAGCCATATCCTGTCCCAGGTAGGATATGTGTCCAAGCTGGCTACGATTTACGTAGGAGACCGGAATAGATGATAAATCGCAGCAAAATTTAACCAGAGCCATTTTTAAAGTCTCGCCTGCTCTCGCAATCGGAGGATTGGGGGCGCACAATAGTCAATTAGTGAAAATATTTGCCAATTTTTGAAAATCTCAGCCATTTCTAAATTATATCCACTATTTGCATCATCTTGTTCACTTGTTCAGATCTCTCTTACACCTATCCAAAAGATCTACTTCCTAGATTTGTGCACCACAATTAATCTCGTCCAGCGGGTATTCATATTATTGCGAGCGTTCACGTGGAAGTCATTTGAGGCCAGAGACTGATTTGACGAGAGGTGCGGTCGTTAGAAGAAGGATATACTAGGTCTTACTTAAAGACTTGATGAGAATTTGGTTGGAATCAATCTCTATGGGGTTAGAGATTGTGTAGTGGACAGACTTGAGTCATTGCATTGTGGGCTAATGTCTTCGGTATTGCAAAATGTGACTGTGCTTAACCCTTGATGAATATTTTATCTCAACGTTCTGATATGTCACGGCTGAGAAGTACTATCCTCGGCTTCCGCGCAAATGATCGGTTTAAAAATGGCGGCAGGAATTTGATACCTACTTTAATGTCCCTTCCCTTTCATGCTTAATATTTTACTTGACCGCCTTCCTGGTCGAGCTGGTTTTCCCATGGTAATTCGAGGACATACTCACCTTCATATTTCTCACATACACCTCGGTGTGGAGAGACTTAAACATAGCATACTTTCGTCAGCACTCCAATCTCATCGTAAGACAAAGGCTTCCATACTGCCAAGTTCCTGTCGTTTCCATTAGTAGAGAATCACGTCTCATGTGAATAAACAATTCTATACCAATATGTTGATTTGTTACTTTAGCATAGTCCATAGATGCAATTTTATGGCAACTCAGCAATTACTTGCATAGAAACTACCAGACGTTCCAAAACGCGTTTCATGAACTTTCTAGTGTGACTGTTTCGGGTGAAAGTACTTTCGCGTGGTTTCTGGAAGTGTGTAAGTAAGTGAATACTTACTTGGCCATGAATCTAGTAACTTTATAGGCAGGAAATAAATATAGCCTTAGTATCACTGATGCAGTTATACCTATAGATTTGCAAGCCCTAACGCCTTACTCCTCGCTATAGACGTGAATAGTAGCAGCATTCCATACCACGCATGTTACGTTAAAAGTAATGTAAAACGAGCCAACAAAATGCGAAAAATACTAAAGCGCCCGCATAGAAAATCCATTTATCTTGTTTTGCACGCCTCTCTATCACACGAATTGTGTCGCCACTGATCCCTAGCGTATTGGCAACACTGTACAACTTCTTTTGGGTTCCCTTCAATATTTCTCGCTGCTGATTTAGATCACCAAGAACGGCCTGACCGCGAGCAAGGTAATCATCGAGGGCAGAGTTTGTTTGGGAAAAGAACTGCTGTTCTCGGAACGCATGGGTTTCCCGTGCCGCGTCGCCACTTCCCATACTCATAGAAGTGGACTTGGGCGCCCAGGGGGAGTCAGCACTAGCGCTAGCCGTGACGGCAGTGTTTGAGTACGGATTGTCGGGCATCGCCGTAGCATTATGAGGACGACGGCCGAGCAACTCTGATCGTGAAGCAACAGCTTGTGCATCTTCATTCTGGGCCTGGAGATCGCGTAGTTCGGAGCGAAAGGCTGCAAGATCGGCACGAAATGACTGAAGACGCTCCTCGGCCTTAGCTTTTTTGGCGGTATTGAGCTCAGAGCGCGCGAGCTCAGCAAACGAATCCAGGGTGCGCGAAAAACTTGTGAGTGATGCAGATAACTGTCCAAGAAGAGCGGGTGAAAGCGTGTGACTTGCAGATAGATCACGCTTCAGCGCTGTCGACTGCTTAAGGGCTGTATTGAAGAGCGAGTTCTGTCAAAGTTAGATTACTTGACCCGATTTATCAAGGGCTAAAAGTACCATGACGATGTGAGCTTTGGCGGAATTTTATCTATCAAGCGGCGTGGACGAACGAGTAGATTTACCACCGTATTGTTATATTGTATCGCATCCCGATCGGCAAGTGACTCTGACGTGGCGAAAGCTGGTCTATTCAGATAGGGCGGATATACCTTATTCCTGTTTAATCTGGCACTAAATGACAGATAGAGTTCAATCTGGCTGGATGGTGCTGCAGTAAAGCTCATGGACGAGAGAACAAAATTGAACAGACGAAAAATTCAAGCTAAATCAGTAGAAGGTGATCCGAATTTCATGATGAGAGAGTTTATTTCATCGAGTAGAACGCGAATATGTCAGTTTCCAGCTACTTTCTGGCCCTCGAAAGGAACAACCTATTATCCTCCCTGATAATCTCATTCACCTAATTTGGCCTGTCAATTCTCGACGCACTGCTACCTTGACAATGCCGAAACTGTAGACCCTGAGATGTCAAAAACCATGATAATAACAGCACGGCCCGCCATCTAGATCGGTTGCTTCGGGTAGAAAGAAAATTATCCAACAATCCCGATTACGCGCCATTAGGCCCATGTAGTTTTTTTTTCGGAAGATATTTAATCTGTGCAGGATGGTTAAGTTCGACGTTTGGAACACTTGCACTCAGATTTTATCTGCAGACACCACTCGAGGTTAACTCTCGTGGCGTATGACCTCTTCCATGCATACCTTTCACGGGGAAAAGCGTAGAAATCCCATGGTTCTCCGAGTGTGCTTTATTCGCCTGAAAAATATGATAACACCGCGAGAGAATGTTGTGTGTGGGTATTACTAAAATCGAGCCAGCTATTTTCCTGTCTTAAATGGGGTAGGTGTTCGAGCTATCTACAATCTATTTGGGAGAACAGCTCGAGGTGTACCACTGCACGATCCAGCCTCCACTTTATGGAACTTAACATGAAGTAGCACACCCCACTCGTGCTCAAGCTGCCGTAGGATTGTGGAAGTTCCAAATGTCTAGCAGGCTAATAGACAAACCAATCAAACCTGTATCAACAAACGAATCGTCTGTGACGGGTATCATTCAATTACTGGTAGGATAAATTTTGCTCACTCTGATACCGTGAGCTGGTCGCGCTCAAGCTCCACCGAAAACCATCGATGCTGCAACATTATTGGTACTTGCTCCAAAATCTCATTGCATCGCGCTCGGACTATAGTAACATTGTGGCGTTCTATCGCTGTTTCGACAACGCAGACTTACCGTGACGGGATGTTACGGGGAGCAGATTCATAATGGAGACCGGAGCTCTTCCTATATATCTCGGTTGAGACAAACTGCCATCAGAAAACTGATTAGGCACAGGGCGTTGAGTCATGGCATCAAAGATTTCCTTGATATTTTTTGTTTTCATTCATATGAATTTCTGGCTATAGAAAGCTAGCTTTAGTGCTGGTTGTGGGTTTTCCGAAGACACGCACCCGTGTCAAGTCTCCTGGGTGTAAGGCCCAAGTCTGATACGTTAAATTAGTCAGTTCAATTCAACAACCCAGGTGATCCCATGAAATGCGCTTGAAGAGAGAAAACTGCAGCAGCTAACTCCGTACACTATCGACAATACTTACTCACCACACGTCAGACAATATAGCTGTTGTCGCATAATGCCCCATTCAAAAATCTGCTCGGACCAAAGAGCCTCTAGAACTTCAAGCAATTTGTGCATGAACCCCATTTTGTTGGTGTAATATTTAGTGTACCATTGTCCTACTGTCAGATGAGATCGAATGCGATAGGTTTTGATAATAAACATGATACGATGGGGAAGGATGTATGAAGTGCTGCCCATGTCTAGACTTCTTAATAATTTTGTGGTGGTTCACGCGGTGGAATCAAACTGGCTTAGTTTTAGATGCAGTCCTAGCTGTGGGAGGAGCTCCTTCACCTACCTTGTACACAAAGCTTTGGCTTACAATTTAATAACAACAAATATAGAAGCTTAAAGTTGAAATAAAGCTCAATGTTTTAAATAGACTTTTCTCATTCTGACCGCGATTTTATCGACACATTTCTTTTACTACTTTGACTGTGATTGTAGACTTTGAATAACTCCATGTATAGTCATTACAAAAGCAACGGTAGTTCATTCGTTCATTTCTGTGCAACTTAATCCGAAGTATCCAAATCGATGGTAAATAATACATCCTTAGAAGTCTGAATAGTTATTATTTCCTCTCTAACATGATTACTCGTGCTTATCCGACCACCTATTTCCGTCTCCCAGTTATGTACATCCCATTCTAGCCCTTCTGTAGAAATAACTGTAGCATCTTTGAGCGGAATAATTCCTACATTCCTTCCGAGGGCGATATTCGGAAAGCTTTTTTTTGCTCGTATAGAGTGCTTTCCTGGTTGAAGTATAAATGTAATCGCCTCACTGGAGAGCAGATAAACCCTCCCGGATCGATAAGCTGGTTCTTTCTGCAGGGCGTAGATTTGATGTAGTACACTCATCGCTTGATCGACCCTTCCACTGAGTCCGCCAAGTACCACGATATTATTTGACCGCTGGGTTTGTGAGCATCGAAGATGGTGGACAGATTTAACAAAATCTGTAGTGTCTTGATCTGAATCATAAGAAATAGTTACGCCCTTCGTACTCCAGTATTCTCGCGTGTCTGTTTGCAGAGAGTCGAGATCTCCAACGATGGCATCTAGGTCTAGACTTATGGGATCATTGTTGACATTGAGCGTATGCAGGCGGTTTGCACCTCCATCAGCGGCTACTTTGTAGGCTGCATTAGACCAAAGCTTCCGGTAAACTGAAATAGGAAGCTGAAGCTCGCAGTTAAGAATAACGAGCGCGAATTTGGCAGGCGTTAAGTCTCCTGAGAAGAATTCTGCGGGATCCCACTCGGTAGAGTTCATGATAGAAAAAAGATTTGACAACAAATAGAACGTGATAAATAGATTAACCAGGTAAAATTAGGTTCGTTTCTATGACGATGCAACTATCTGCCGAGAAATGAATTTATTTGGATAGTTACAGATCAAAATATGAAAAAATTGAACGTGGTTACGACCAGTGGAGTAATGATGCGGAGTACGAAATTTATACAGACGTCTTACCCCGATTTGAAATGGTATTCCACACCTTAAGTCACTTTAGGAACCGCGGAACTTCCAACTCAATATTTATAATAAATCTCAATGTGAGTTGCTGAACTTCAATACCTGCGGAGATCGCTGACTAAAGACTACTGTTAACAAATGTATCTATCCTGCACCCACAAGGACATAAGCCCTCATACACCGAATATTACATACAGATAGGAGATTTTCCTGCTTGTCTTACATCGTAACGGAAAAACTCTCAATGCGCTCAGGCTCGGAAGAAAAATGCTCCTGGATATGGTCTTCAGAATTTGTTATGGTTATGAGCTATGCAGAAGTCACATTGCGGAGTGATGAGGAGTGGATGATGTTATATTTAGTGGTTGACAGTGAATAGACTCAAACAATATTATGCTGTAGGTGTATGGACAGAAAGTAGAAAACTAAACCTGTGTCCATTTATTGTGGGTATATCTATGAAACTATATACAAGCTTGGCTAACCAATACAATAGTGATATGTGCTGTGGCCTTGAGCCACACGCGATGCCCTAGCCTCGATTACCTTGTTGTCTCATATTATAACAGAATTTGTCTCAGAAACAATCACAACAAGATATTTATAGAAGATAGTAGAAATTAGAACAACTTAATTTTTCTTGAATAGTTGATAGATGCTATTGTAGGAAAAAGAAAGGTAAAGAAATTTCCAGCGTATACTACCTGCCACCAGAATTTACAGCTAAATCACTTGTGATAAACGTCACTGTTGAAAAGGGGAGATGTATGTTTTAAACCAACCCTGGTAAAGGATATTGAAGTCAATTATTTGTATTATAGGCTGATATTTTAGTAACTGTAGGGGTCACAATGGGAGTTGTGCGTATAAATCAATATATAAAGATATGAACATCTTAGGCGATTGGCACCCTTCAGATTCCTTTGAGAGCCTGGCAAGAGTGTAATGATATGAGACAACGAAGAAGTCGAGTCTAAAGCATCGCGTATGGCTCAAGGCCACAGCACATATCACTATTGTATTGGTTAGGCGAGCATGTATACAGTTTCATAGATGTACCCGCAATAAATGAATATAGGTCAAGTCTTATACTTTCTGTCCATACAACTACAGCAAAATATAGTGTGAGTCTATTTACTATCACCCACTAAATATAACATAGTTATTGTTATTGTTTCATTTTATTGTCCCGTCAGAGTCTATGACTATGTAGGACATGCAGGTCCTCTCTACCTACAGGCCAAGGATACATATACCAGTAGTATATCCCCTCCTATGCCTCCCATACATCTTCCCTCCAACAGTACCACCCCTCACAAGTCCTCATTCGATCATACACTTAGAGGAGCCTTTTGCCCTTCATTATCTCCCGTCTCCAGCCAACGAAACGATGGCCTGTCTAAATACGTAATACATAATACTAAAGGTAACTTGGCGGGGCTGCCTAATCGGGTATGTCGTAACGGAAAATAATCAGTGAATATGTACATATTCTCTTGGGATGGAAAGAATAGGAATTATCTAAGAACCACCCATATCGTTGCAACAAGCTTGTGATTATTACTCCGTAGGAATATTCCGACATGGTTAGCTGTAGGTGTATGGCAGCCGGGGATAAATCGCAAAGACCACTTGGTGCAGAGCTCTCCTAATACCGACATTAGGACTAAATCCGAGGACACAGTAACCCTTCTGAAGCGTTCAAAGAGGTCGGCTAGCTGGGCGCTGCAGACTTGTGCGTCCCTCGGAAAATTCACCCTCTGCCTTTCTAGCCTCCTTCCAACTCCTTCGCGAAGGTCGTGCTGAAATGGCAGAAAAGTCTTGACAGAGCGTGATTGCTGTGCGGTACCTTAGCCCAACTTCTTTCATGCCGTCCAGGGCGCTGGGGAGTGCCGTTGACTCATCTACAATAGAAGCCCTCCTGGCTAGCCAGCCGAAATCTCGGTCTTGACGCCCACAAACGTTCCAAAGTTGAAATCACCTCAAATAGATCAGTCCCAGCATGGTCTTCAGAGATCTATTTCCTCTCTCGCTTCACATCTCAGCCGCCTGTCCTTCCTCAAGATGAATAATCCCATTAGAGCCACAGTCATTCATAAGCCGAGACTCAAGCTTTGTAAACTGTGACTTAATTTCCTCCCTGCTGCTATACGTACCGTTGTAAATCTGTAGTGAGAGATGGCTGGAGTTTAATGGGGCAAGTTCCTGTATGCAATTGGAGCAACTTCTTTTTTGGTCGTTGAGGCGAGCTGGTGCTTGGTTAGAGATGAGTTGAGGACTCAGATGATAATGATGAGGGAGACATTGTCGAGAAGTCGTCAAATGGAGATGTATTTGAGGTTGCTTCCGACTTCGATTCGGATGCGATTCTTCTTGGCTATCCCAGATATGCAGAGCATACTGAGCGATTACACCGGTACCACTGGAAGGTGAAGAATTCGTCTTTGCCGGCGCCCAATTCGTAAAAGTCCTCGCAAAATTTCGGAACTTCACGCCCTTCGATGCTAAGTCCTTCCTTTGTATCATCTTGTAAACTTTTCCTAATCCCTCTCACGTCCATCCCAAAGAACTTTCTCCCAGATTTGTGCGCCACACTTTGCTTCCTCCGTCGGGTATTAATATCGGCGTGGGCGTGTATTTGGTGATCAACTTAGGCCAGAGAAGGTCGGAGAGAGGTGTGGTCATTGGGATGACGATGTACTAGGTTGTACTTGTAGACTTGATGAGACTTAGGTAGGCATTAAACTCGTTAGGAGCGAATGAGTGAGTGGTTGTTTATTGTCCTAAAAAGTCTATAACTATGTAAGAACATGTAGGTCCTTCTGTTATAATTACGAGGTTAGATGGATAAGTATTGTGGGAGGATAGTATATATATAAAGAAGAATGCGGAATGAATATTCTGGTGGTGGGCGAATGTATTTAGACTATCTGAGGATAATATGGATATCTAAAGATGAACGTATAATCTAACTAAGAAGTAAATGGACCTGATAATATACATGCACGATGTATTCTACAGCCATCTCCACTGATTGTCTGATGCACTCATGTAATGCGTATCGACAATGTTTGATCCTTAAGCTCCTGATAATGAGCACGACTCACATTTGAGTACTTTTTTTTAAAAATCATTTGAGTATATTCAGCAATGGAGCTATGACACATGACCGGTGCTATGTATACATGTTGGATGACTCTTTTGGCGTTAGAGACACTTATACTCTGGATTTCATTCGCAAATACCACTGTGAGTTATGTTCGCTTACACAAACAGTCGACCCTCCTCCGTAAGTACCCACCAAAGGGAATTTAAAAACCTTTGATTATCCGAGCATGCCTTCGTTATCCATGCATACCAGCACCGCGAGAAATGTGATTGTGTTTTGCCGGATTCGAACCAGCCATCTACTGTCTCAAGTGGGATGTGTGTCCAAGCTATCCAGACTCTACTTGGCAGACCGGCCAAGACGATGTACCACCGCACTATCCAACCATGGCAGTTTTTATAGTGTCACCTGCACTCTCACAACCGAAGTCTTGGCACGCACAAAGCTCAATTTGTAAAATCTCCTTGCCAAATCTCAAAATTCCACGCCCGTTAAGACTGTATCCATCCTTTGCATCATCTTGTGAACTTATCCTCAATCCTCTCACGTCCATCCCAAAGAACTTTCTCCCAGATTTGTGCGCCACACTTTGCTTCCTCCGTCGGGTATTAATATCGGCGTGGGCGTGTATTTGGTGATCAACTTAGGCCAGAGAAGGTCGGCGAGAGGTGTGGTCATTGGAATGAGGATGTACTAGGTCGTACTTGTAGACTTGATGAGGCTTAGGTAGGATTTGATCTTTTTTGGAATGAAAATTTGACGTGGTAGAGTTATTTGAATTATTGCTTCGTGGGCCAACTTGTTCGGTATTGCGAAATTTGACTGTAGTTGGCTCTGGGAGAATGTTTCACTTTCAGGTTCGTACAGGGCACCACTAACAGGTGTTCAGTCTTGCCCTGCACTACTTGAGTCTATGACTATCTAGCACATTAGGTTCCTTTCTGACCCAGGCCACAACTTGTACAGTGCTCATGTCCTCTATGTTACTTGAAAGATAATTGATATATTGCCCTTGATGAATAGCCATTCAGCTCATTGTTTACCCGTGAAATTCGGCCACCTTTTCTACGGAGCCTTCTACTCAAAAAAAATATAAATGGTAGCAATTGAAACAGGGTGCGCGAGAAAAAGTCTCAAAAAACCCGAAGCCCCAGCCAGGCGAGGCCTAGACACCGGGACCACATGAGGTGCGCATATTTATCTATATCTCCTTTCTTTGTAACATTCGAGGCTGACTTGATCCAATCCACCTTCTCCGTATCGGGTGCTGGGTATGCTCCAGAAACTCATCGGATGGCTTTTCCTCCATGATCAAGGGTTGGTGATGAGTAGGGCTTCGATCCTACCATCTGATCTGATCTTGGTTAGCTTCACGATAATAGTGATAGGGGAATGTGTAGAGAGATGAAGATGATACAGACCACGCAAGCAATTGGGAATCCTCGTCGAAGTGAGGACTTTGTTACTCAATCTCGGCTCTGCAGACTCTACAGTGAGAGCTGGAGGTTCATAGGAGACACCACTGACAGGCGTTGAGAATAGTCCCCAGAGTCATAGAAGTGCACAGCAACCGATCATAGTTGGGTAAGTGTTGACTAGCACTGCCCTTTACATCAACACGACACTCTGGTCTTCAGACGGTCCCAGAACTTAATCAGAGATAGATACCAGTCTTTGGTGCATAATA